TGTGGATATGTTAGTCTTTGTGCTATATATATATATATATATATATATATAGCATATATATATATATAGCATATATATACTATATATATATAGTTGTTATTTGTGTGTGTGTATTAGAGTTAAAAACTAGTTATAACAATAATTTTATATTCTTCTGTCATACACTATTTAACATTTGTGTTAGTTTCTGCTTCATAATTCTATAGATGGGTGAGCAGCGTAGTGCCAGACTGTGTTTGTTTTCGTTTATTCGTGCTTCAAATGTTGTTCGCGCTGACTGAGTGCCTGCTGTGGCCTGAATGGTCAAAGTTTTGTTGTTTTAAAATTTATATATATAAAAAACAGTCTTTTATAATTTTGAAATTTTTGTGTTGTTGTTTCAAATAAAATAAATTGAAAATGATGACGACGAGCACGATGATGTAAATGAAAAGATGAGGATGTTGTGACGTAAAAGACAATGGGCAGGATTAAAATTATGCAAATTACAGAATGCCATAAAGTATGTTAAGAAAAAAATAATGAAATTTATGAAAATAGCAAAACTAAAGTATTTGAGAAATAATGTAACAACTTATGCAAATGTCATTGTTGGAACAGCTGACTGGTTGCAATGCCAACAATTGTGAATGTAATTCAGTCATCTCGTTTTAAAGTCACCTCAACGCAAATGACATACAGTTAAACAATTCCTTTACTGCCAAAAAAAACAAGATCTACCAAACAAAATTCACCAAGGAATTGAAATGGTTTCATGCTGGATGTCAATCAATAGGCTGAGGTTGAACATAAAAGGACGGATTACTTCTGTTTGGCAACTCGTCAAAACGAACTGCTATCCAAGAACATGTAGACCCAGTGAAAAACCTTGAAGTCTGACTCGACTTTTATTAGCAATAATTGAACACGTGAAAAACCATTGCCGATCATGTTTCTTTTAACTTGACTAAATTAGAGGTATAAAGAAATATCTAACTAATGAATGTTTGAATTCGTTCATACGTATCTTTGAACAGAAATCAATTGGTTAAATTGAACTGAAAATATGAGAAAGTTGTTCTAATTAGTCGAAAAAAAAAATTTCCATTTTCCTAATGAATGAGAAATTATTATTACACATCGTAGATAGAAAGCAGTTATTTGGCGTCTGAGATTTAATGAAGTGTCATCATCAGATGCTATTTCCTCGCTCTCACTGGTTGAAACATCCGTTCTCCGACATTGGTCTCCGTGCCACTCAATATATTTTCATTTTCAGAGGTTTCCACTTTTTCTGGGTTACCTTTCTTATTAAATATTTTTCCAGGAGTCTCTGCACCAGAAAATCGTTTTTTCAATGATTTTAGTCCTTACGGTGGGCGTTTGTATTTGTTAAAATGGATATTTTTCTTCTTATTATTTATTATTATTATTATCATTAATATATATTTGAAGAAACTTAATAAATGATCTTTTCAATTTGTTTACAAAAAATGCAAGTTCGAAATTAAAATGAACAATTTATTTACAATGACGCCTTTTAAAATGAATTTATTTGTAATTAATTAATAAAAATGTAGAAACAATAACATAGGAATGTTGACAATAATAATAATAATAATTTGGTTGGTGGACCATCGACCTCCACAAAACCACTTTAATTTGATTCGATGCCTTTTCTACAATCCACTCACACACACACACACACTCACACGCGTATATAAACTCAAGAACGCACGCAAACACACAAACACAAAATAATAGGGTAACCGGTAGAAACACTGTATGATATGATTGGCTGACTGGTTGGTTGATTGATTTGCAACACTGTAGATGCTGAACAAACTTTAATAGCCACTCAAAACATATCAATATTAACAGTTCTTAGTGATTAGTTTAAAATTTTCTAATAAAGAAATTGTACATTTTTTCAATTTAAATTTTTTTAGACTAGTAAACCAACCAGTTTTTTAAGCAGTTATTTCAGCGTCAAGTCAAATCGGACATCGCAGATATCCTTACAACACATTCGTTCATCTAACTTGAATGGAATTAAAAACATGAAGATTATCATGTTGAGAGTGCCACTGCTGTGTGCAATGAATGCCTTCCAGCGACTGACATAGAAATTAAAATGAAGCCACTGACCTTACGACGAAGGGTCACTCACTGACCTCACTGACCCTCAGGCGCCTGCCTGATTATATTCTACTCAATAACTCTCGCCAATTACCCGAGCTTGAAATCGTCAGAATATCTCTGCAGTAATTAAACTGCATGTAGGAGGTCGTGGCTACTCTCGTTCGTGTGATGTTTATAACTGGGAGATAAGATAATACCGTTATATAGAATATCATGATACTTTGATGTGTCTACAAAATTTATTTTCTTGTTTTTTTTTTTGTTTTTTTTTGTAAAACCACTTCATTGATTGATCTCGACATTATTCGTGTTCAATAATTTTTCAAAGGTTGTTTCAAAATACAGTCGGACATCCGTATCAGGAATTTGATGGTTCCAGGAACAAATTCGTTAAATAGAAATTCTTCAACTTTACACTTAGAATTTTTAGCACTTACACGTAGAATTTTTTTTGAGAAAAAATTCTATATTGCCTAAAAGTTATTTATACATTTATAAAAAATTCTCCTAATCATTTATTTTGTTACCAGAAAGTATATACATAGTATAATTGTAAAAAATAAAATTTTAAAAGTGAAATTTATTCTTCGTTCCATACATCGATAATTTCAATTCTATTGAAATTAATCAAGGTTGATTTCGCAAAAATTACTAAAATAATAGTACAAAAAAAACAATAAATACGTTTCTTGGATATTAAAGGAGTACAAAAACACCGCTTATCAATTCACAGAATGTGTACTCGTCGGATGTTTCTTTCAATTTTTATAAATTTTGCTCGTTATAGAGAAATTATTTTTGTTCAATAGAAACAGTTTCTTATGTGAACTTTCAAGGGACTTCAAAAAAATTTGTTTTATAAAGAATTTCGTTGTACGGAAGTTCACTATAAAGAGGTCAGACTAACTATAAGAAGGCATAGAGGTTAAGGATGGATTGCTCCATTCAATCAACATTGGTAATGAGATGAGATGATGTTAGCAGACTGTTACAGCAGCATTCTCTGCCATCGTATCACAAACCCAGATTGTAAATGATTTTATAAAATAAATGTTTTATCTGTTTTTTCTTCAGTTAGCAAAAAAGAATATTCTTAATTGGATTTTTTAAATTTCCAATAAGTAAAAATAAAATTTATTAGTTCTTTGAAAAAATCTTGAATTTTATACAATTGCTATTGATGACGTTAGTGTCAAACAAGTCAGTTGTCATGAGTGACATATAACTAATTGAAAGCAAGTTACAGACTGGCCTTTGTTAGATTGCAAGTTCATTTTTTCTTTTTTTGTTTCATTATTTCAAAATATTTTAATGATTTTCAATCAGTATTTTTTTTTATTTCAGTTTTACAACTTTTCAAGGTCAAAGATGGTTTGCTCCATTTGATAAACAATGGTTATGAGATGACATGATGTTTGTTAGAATTTAGTTTGTTTATCATTCAATCTTCACTACTTTAATCAGTATCTAATTATAATTAAAGTAAAGTCTCCAAGTTTTTATTGATTTCAGATGAACGAATCATGAGAATTTTAACATTTATTTGAGCTTATGAAATTAAGTTTTTGAATTTTCTAAAATCAACAAAAAATTCATTAGATAGATTGCAATGGTGAACAGATAAATATGAAGACCCAACCAAGTAAGAGTTAATAAATCTAATCAACAATTATTTCAAACATCTGTTGACGTGTTGACGATGCCGATATAAGCAACGTTTGAACACACGCTACCCGTTTTGCACTTGAAAATTTGACAATCACCGTCATCATCGTCGTTAATAAAAGCATTGGTAAAGTCGAATGTAGCCAGAATATAATCATCATCGTCGTTTTCAAAAATGACATCATCCTCATCTTCTGCAGCATCGACAACAACATCATCAGTTTCTTCATCAATATTTGCTTTGTCGTCATTTTTATCAACGTTATCATCAAACTTATAATGAAAATAATTTATGACGTCACCATCTTTCTTTTCCTCATCACTGGTAGTATCAAAAACATCATCCATGTCCTCAAAACCATCAACTCTATCATTAAAATTGTCAGATGTTAAATTCTTCCGTCTATTATTTGTTGCATAATCATCAGCTCTGATATCTTGACGAGGCAACGCGTGCGATGCATTTGATGATGATGATGTTGATAATGAACTCTTATCATTCAGATACTTGCTCAAGTTGATTCTTTGTAAATAAATTTCATCAGTACCGGATTCAGTATAATGCTGTGCTACAGTATAAAGGCAGTTGCTGAAGAGGAAGGATGGAGAATGAATCACAGGCAACTTTAACTTCATCACAATGGACCACTGGCCAGTAGCAAAATCATACATCTCTCCTTTCTGCGTATAAATTTTTATAAAAATTGTATAATTAATTATTTTGGCACATCTAACCGTCAAATGAAATAAGTAAACAGTGAAAATTTAAAATTAAAAAAAACCAAAGCATCATCAACAAACGCAAACCCGGCATTACCAGACGTCATTATCTACAACAACCATTCAGCTACACAAACAAAGATGACAAATACAGTCAAGATGCTAACCGTTGAAGCTCTTTCGTTCGCGCCGCCAACTGCAAAGAGCGCGTTTCCAACGCTGGCCAAAACGTGGCCATAACGCTTCTTCAACATTGAAGGTTGTTCATTCCAACTGTCTGATGCAGGATCGTACTGCCACATCCGCTTTTCTCTTTTATCAGTAAAAGTATGGATTCCGCCACTGACATATAACTTCCCATTATATACACAACCTAAAAATGTAATGATTGCACATTATTCATATGAGATGATATAATAAAAATGTAATGATTGCACATTATTATGATTATTATTATTATTATGAGGTGATATAATAAATTAAAACAAAACTTAACCAACCTGCCAGGTTAGAAACGGGAACTGGCAATCGAGCCAACATGTACCACCTGTTTTCCTCTGGGATGTACTTTTCAACTGCTCCCGAACTTAGTGAACCAGCAACTACGTACAACTGACCGTTTACATTACCAAAATAAAAGTCATTTCTTCCGACCATCATGTCAGACAACTGGATGAAAATTGATTTGGAAAAATGTTTTTTGTTAAAATATTGAAAATTTTTTTACGCATTAACGATTTTAAATGAAAAAACCAGTTAACAATTCTAATGCCTTGCGTTCTGGTGTTAGGTATTCTTAAAAGACTGCATTAAAACGTTAGTTAAATGAAACATTGAAAATAACTAACCCTTGACCATTTGGAAGATGTCAAATCGTAAGCAAAAGTTTTCTTATATTGCCACTTTTCATATTTCTCTCCAATCATATACAAGACATTATTGAGAAAACATAATTGACAATCTTCGTAATCAACAGGGGGACCTCTCTCGTCGGTCAGTTTGAACCTGACATCAGGTGGTGTTGTGCTGTTTCTATTGCCACAACTTTTAACGAAATCGAACAGGGATAGTGAGTACCCTTCCATATATCTTTGACCCTGTAAAATAAGTTTGTGTTTTGGTATTTTAAATTAGATGACGGCAACAATTTTATAAATTACAAAAAATAATGTACGGCGAAAGTGACAGCAGTACTAATAAGAACTATTCTCTTATTAGGACCAGATCATCCATATCGGAATCAAAACATGAAAATGAATGAATCAGAAAATATTTTCAAAATATGTGATAATCAATATTAAGAATGAACAGCCTACCAAATTTTCTGGATCCAACACGAATGCAAATAACGTGCCAGAAGTGTGGTAACGATTTGCACTTTTTCCTGTTAAAGAAACATTTAATTCCATTTTATTGAGCAGGTCAGCACTTTTTTGTTTTTCTGTAGTCGACATCAAGTTGAATCTGATTTCTTTTAATAACATTTCTGCACACGGTCTTCTTGAGTCTTCAGCAAAAATCCAATCAATGATTAATTTAAAAATATCAAACTCGCCGTCCGCATTGACAATCTCTGATTTAACCAAATGGTGCAAAACGTCAAATGGCATTATTTCGGGACACTTTGCAATTTTTTTGAAATTTTTCAAAGCAAAGTCATAAATTTTTTCGATCACCTCTACAAGAGCGTACGTTTGTGAAAAATCGAAAAGACGTGTATACGAAGAGTCATTCAAATGTTTCAAAAGATATTCTATATATGAACTCGTCATGCCCATAATTTGCAAATAGGACGCACCTTTCAAACCCTCCTCTACATTTTTCAATTGTTTCCTCTTTGGGAGCTTGATTTTAATTTTTTCTTTGTTGCATTGAAATTTTGATACAAAATCTCTAACTTCTTTCAAGCAGACATTGGAAAGGTATCCCAATGGAAGTTCATTGAGGTGTGCATCTTTCATTCCACTATTGACCAGGGCTTGGTAATAATCGCTGGTCTGCAGAAATGAGGCCCTGGGAACCACGTTTCGCCCACCTGATTTTGAGATCAATACGATTGTTCGCAAATCGTCCTCAGCGTGATCCTTCTCCATTTCGATGTTGTTTTTTTCGATATAAGTTTTAAATTTTATTTTAAATTTCAACACAAATCTTGGTATTCCAAGTTATCTTTTAACTGATCCACGCGTGCTTCAATAGTTAAGAGCCGGGTGCAGTGAGATTATTTATATAATCATTCACAAAGAAAGGATTGTAAATACTTAACTTTGGCTCGCTTCATCCATAGATACAAATCGACTTTGCTCATTTTTTACAAGGTATTTACAACTCTCTCTGTGTGCAAAGTGCTTTTATTCTACTTTGTCCTGTGCATAGTATTTATATTCTGCTTTATCTTGTTCGTTTATTATATCTTGGCTCTGTCCATTTATTATATGTCTTTGCTCTGTTCATTTTCTTGGCTTGTAAAGTCTTTCAATAATATTCGTCTCGTCGGTAATGATGTTGCTATTCTCTGCTGCTTGTTAATTTGCGGTTTTCTTTGGTCAATGAAGATCGCTTCAGAAATTCTTAGATGGTTGTGGTTTTTGTTACTGCATATTATACCAGTAAATGTAGATGACTTGTAGTAGTTGTTGTTGGCTAAAAATTTGATGATTCTAATTAATTCTGCTTATTGAAGTAGAGTGTGTATGAATGCTCTATTTACAAATGCTTTTATTGTGCTGCGTTTGTATTTCTTTGTGCACTCATATTTTCCATTAAAACATATCCCTTCGTTTGTATCCTTCATGAATGTTTAGCGCATCCAAAAATGGTAAGATTTTGTTGTTTTTGTATTCTATAGTAAATTTCATTTTAGATTTATTATGAGTAAAAGAAAGATTTGTAAGTTGGTCAGGGTTGTTATACGCAACATATCTTGCCTAAATTTAGGGTTTTAGTTCGGGATTCCTTGAGGAAAGTTTGTTTTTCTATTTTCAAAGAATACTCCGAGTGGGAAGGAAACCTACGGCGATTCCGTATTTTTTAAAAATGTGCAAACGAATAGGTTATATCAGCGGTGGGCAAACCTTTTGCTTTGAGGGCCGCATTGAAAACTGTTTTACCTTTGGAGGGCCGCATATGTACATTCTTCGACCGTTGACAGGGGAGGGAGAATTTTTTAACAACATATGATCATTTATGTGGCTTACAACCTTTTCATTTTTGGTCATGATATTTTGCCTATGATATTTTTTGTGAATTTAATTGATTATTTCTTTTTTTTCTGGGTTTTATAATATATGTATTATATATTTATTTGAATACAGATTTAAAATTTATACATTTGAAATGTATTTTAATGTGTGTAAATTTAGTTATTAATGCAAAATATTTAGAGATACGTAATATAATTATGAGTAACACCTCACTTAGTGAGACATGCTTAATATTCCGTAGTTGAATTATCTTTTTATTTTTTTGGGTTATAGTATTACTCTCAAACTTCTTGCAACTTATTAAAGAAATGTCTATACACTCCAAAAAATATTATATGACATTTATAACTTATCATTAACACAACACAACAGCGTATTGCATAAATGGACACAATTTGCTATCGTGTTAAATATCTCAGAGCACATTTTGTATAAGTTGCAGATTCATAACTTGGAATTAGATAAAAAAATTTAAATTTCAAATGAAATATGTTAAATATGCAAAGTTAATAAAAAAAATGAGCTGGTCTCGTAAGCTTGACACTGAATTGCATTCGTAACATTCATAAGCTGAACAGGACGAGTGATATGCAGCAGATGGCGCAGTTTAGTCGGATCACTGTCATCAATGGATATGTAGTTGAATGCGTTGCAGGTTAGATTGCCGTTAGCTGGAGAGACATGATGAGAACATTTAGTAAAACATTCAAGTAATAATCTCACGTTGTGGTATACATGGATCGGGTTGGAATTGTAACGTCGGGGATTGCTTAAGTGTCGCACGATTCGAAACTGCTAGTCGACCGACACAACAACATGCTTCACCAGCGGTGACAATAAACTGATTACAAACAGGATTATTGCAAATTGCATTCTTATTGTCTTTAATCATAAAATTCTGCAAAAAATTATCTTTTAAATTTTGATTATCGCACTTTTTTCAAATTAATCAAATAAAATTTTTTTCTGCCGTTGAAAGAAAAATATCACGTATTACGGGCTTATCTGCAAATAGCTTTAATATAACAAGCAGGTAACTTAGAATTCACGCCGCTAAAAATTCATTTGAAAAGTTGATATTCCAAGATTAGTGAAATTAGTGACAGAAATATACTAATGCGTCTTCCTATCCAACGTTCTTCCGGAGATTTTAGTGGATCTTTGTGACAGTTTTGTTGTTGGATGTAAAAATATTCATTCATTTTACTGTACATAAGTAAAAATTGTTGCTCATAGATAATTTTTTTTTGTTTTTTGCTATTTTCACATTTACATTAATTTCATTTGCTGTTGGGGTGTAATAACTTATTTTACCAAACACATTTTTATAATAGCAAAAACTTGCATAACTCCTTTTCTAACGGTTTCAAAATAGCTGCTGGTGAAGTGCACTGAACTTCAGTTTCACTCCCCTGAACTTCAGTTTCACTCCCCTCTATTCATCAATAACATTTCCACTCTTATAAAATTGTTGCAAGTTTCATAATTTATAGTTGGCGAGAAACTTTTGATGGGTGGAAGAGGTACTAGGATATTTTTATATACTAGGATATTTTTATATACTAGGATTTAAAAGTTGACAACAAGTTTCAAGCAAAATTTGTTAAATGTATGTATATATTTTTATTTTTTATTTATTTATTTTTTCATTATAGAGGACCAAATAAATTTAAAATAAACTTGTGGAGAGGCCATTCTTAACTAAGTCATAAATAAACATGAAAGTTCAAAAGTTAGAAATTAAGAAAATCCATTTCAGCGTTCAAATGCATTCAAATACTATATCAGAATTTTATAAAAATGTTTACTAGAATGAAATACATTCAGATAATACTTATGAAGGAGTCAAATAATCATAATAAGAGCGAACAGACAAAAACACACACGCACCACACACACCTATTCATATTTAAACAACAGCTATATATTAATGTATTTAAATCGTTAGATGGTTGTGTCGGGGTGAAGTAAGTAAAACTTAGATCGCAACCTTTTTTTAAAGAGTTGCTTGTTTGTTATGTTATGAATGGCGTGGGAAACAAATTATTTCTAAATTTTAGGGCCAGTTGTTTTTAAACTTGTAGAGATGAGTTTAAGACGAGTTTTTACTGAGTAAAAGATAGTAGTGTGTCTAGTTTTGAGAGTTTGAACAGATTCACTGAGTGTATTAAAGTTAGAAAAAATTGAGAAAAGTAAACTATTTAAAAACTTTAAAACAAAAATAGATGTAAAATAAGTAATATATATATATATATATATATATATATATATATATATATATATATATATATTGATAAATTTAATCTTTACCCCAACAAAAATGTTTATTGTTGGAGAGGGCTTCTCGATAACTGTTAATTTGGTTATATATATACACACGCACGCAGTTCTTATGTCTGGAGGCTTATAATTATCATTAAAATTAAATAAAAAAAAGCACGCCTGCACCTTGGATCCGAATTCAGATTCGTATTTGTCCAAAATCCAGATATTACGAATCTCCATTTTTGGATCGGTCCCATCCCTAATATAAACATACATGCAAAACGTACAAAAAATTTAACAAATGAATTTATTACTAAAAATATTTCTGATGCATTTGCATTGATTTTATATCCATTGTTCTGGTTGCACCACTAATTTCAGTTCTGTTGTCCCAAACAAATTTGATTGATTGATGCTTTTTATTTTATTTTGCCTTGCTGAATAAAATTTTTTGCATTACTATATATACATTTGCAATTATTTTTCAAATTTTAGAACAATGTAGATATTATGTACTGTTGGCAAAAGTGTTTTCTTTAATAAAGCACAATTCTTTCTCGCATTTTGTTGACAGTTGCGAAAGTTTTTAAAAAAAATTACCTGAATATTATACATAATATTATTATATTATATCAGATATCTAATTTGAAAAATTGCTTAGCCAGCAAGTTTGTTAACTGCAAAACAACTAATTTGCGAAATAAAATATAAGTTTAATAGAATAAAATTTAAAAAAATTGAGATGGTTCTCATGCTAAAATTAACGGCGGTCTCTATAATCATCCTGGCTAACATCTCATCATTAAAAGCAACAGCGGCACTGAAATCATCAGCGGGCAGAACGTACAGCAAACTAACGAGGAACAACTTGACCATCTGTTCAAACTCATCCAACGGAACACTGGTTTTCAGCGAGGGTGGTTTGACTGTAGAGCAAGTTAGGAGCGGAAAAGTTGTCAAACAGTGCAGCATTGTTCAAACGTTGGGCGAACTTTGTTACGCCTTTCAAACGAATGTGATGAAGTCCGTGAGTGTTGTTGATGCGTACGATGTGGAGTGCAGTCATTTCTTCCATGGTCTTCCTGCCAACCTGCATGCAAGCATCAATGACAACTCGTGCGCTTTTTACATGATGGCTGAGAGTACGTTAACTGAAATTTACGTTAATTTATTTGAAAAAACACATTTCAATATTTTCTATTAGACCCTGTTTATTTGAACGTTTCCTCGTGGGGGCTCGATGAAACTTCAGGTGGTTCACAATTCGATTGTAATAGTCAGAACAGAGGAGTTAACTTGTACAAGTTGGACATGCAGAGTCACCTGCTGTATGACTTTCAAATCTTCGATATCATTGGTTCGGTTGACAACGCATATAATATGAAAAACTATCTAGAGGTGACACTTTATATTTGCCTTGTAATTTAGTTAATGAATTTGCGTTGTCACACATTTTAATGTTTATGATTTTCTAAAGGTCAACCAAAATAATTTTAATGCGATCCATGTTGATTGTAATGATGCATTTTCATTGTGTTATTGTTTGCATCAATACACGCAGCTCAATAAAACACATATTATTGATAACATTGCGTTGCTAGAAAAGAAATACTATCTGCATTGTTCGCGGCAGCAGATGCCACCGATGTTTCTGTACATGCACTCTTGGACATAAGCGCGGCCTTTGACTGTCTCGACCACTATATTCTGTTAGAGCGGTCAGATAAATCTAAAAGTTTTTTTTAGGATTCTTTAAAGTCGAATTAAACAAACTGAACGCAGCAAGTGATGTTCGAAAACAGTTTGTCAGAGAAAGAGGTGGTCGTTTCGTGGGTTCCCGTTCTTGGACCAATTTCGATTCTACTCTATTAAGCTGATAATTTTAATGCAATAAATTTGTTCGGGTTTTGTGGACATGCCTACGTTGATGATGTTCAGATTATTGTCAGTGGTTCACCTAGTGACTCCTCAGTTATGTCAGATAAATTTGTTGACTGTTTGTCCGGGATAGATATTTGGATGGCGGTAACCGATTGCAGCTGAATCAATGCAGATGCTTATGAAGTTAACATTAACATACCTTTTCGTACAACAAACATACACATACATGTTAGGACATATTTCTGCACAATAACGATTTACCAATGATTGATTTCTATTATATGTACTTTTACTTACGTAATATTTTGTGTTTAAGTTATATGACACTAACACTACCTAAGAGTGCTTTTGTGGGACTAATTTAGAGGGCAATACATAAATAATACCAAGATGATAATATTATTGAAAATATGATATCCTAATCATCCTCATCATCTTATTCGACATAATCATTTTCATCATCATCATCGCTATCACCACAATCACCACCAACCAATCAGAGCACACCAGCCGGGACGATAGTTGTAGGTCGGACATGTGACGATGCACACCAAAACATGGATGTGATATCAACTTACTTGGAAAACATCAACTTGGATGTCACTAACTTGCAATACAGGAAGAAATGGCTGTTTGTTTGGCAGCAGGGTGCCTACGAAAAAACAATTTCTTTTCTTGACAATTCCGCAGTTCCTTTAACGAAACAGTTCATTGTTTACAATTCAGGTGTGTTCTTATTTATTCATGTCAGACTTCAATATTTGATTGTTCGAAAAAATGAGTTTACAATTCTTTTAATTATTAAAAAATTAAATCAATCTTTTTACTTCTGATAAATGATAAAGCAACATATCTTGCATTTTATCCGAGAAATCAATCATCATTTGGTAAATAATTACCTAATTGTGATGAGTGGTTACGAAATAGCTCACTCACACGCTTCCAGGACAGCTTTAAGTTCAAGTTCTAACTTTCAATTCCTATTGCAACATAATGCAAATTTATTTACTTTCATTTAATCCTTCCTCTTCTTCTTATCTTCTTCTTCCTCCTCCTTCTTCTCCTTCTTATCTTTTTCTTCTTCCTCCTACTTCTCCTTCTTCTTATCTTCTTCTTCCTCCTACTTCTTCTTCTTCTCCAGTATTACGGCGTTTTAGCTCTGATAGGCTATTTTTACGCCTTTAGTCTTTGTTTGGAATCTTTTTGAGCACCGGGGCAATTAATCCAAAATATTTATATTTAATATATCAGGTGTGGACAAGTCCAACTGGACAGCAGTGAAGATGCAGCTGATAAACTGAAAGATGTCGTCAGTACTAACAACCGACAATTTTGTGTTTGACAAAATTATATTTTATTATATATGATAATTATTCTATAGTTATTTAAATTATGAATTATTTCATATATTGTATTTTATTTAAATTTATACGATAAATTACTTACAATTAATATTTAATATAGCTTTAATTATAAAAAATATATTAATTATAGAACAATTTTTAATTTATATATTATTTCCTGTTATTCATTTTAATACATATTATAAATTCATATTACATACTACTTATAAAATAATATTTAATATAGCAATAATTTCTTGCCAACTTTTTACGTAGAATAAGCTATTTATTTTAGATTAGAAGAATTGATAATTTTTAATTTATAAATGTGATATTGAATATTTGTTAATTTTTTAATTAATTAATTATTAATTAATTAATTAACAATTTATTTATTAATGTGATTGTGATATAAGTTAAAAATTTATTTAAGAATTGTCGTTACATCATTCCCATTAATTATTCCTTAAAATAACAGACGAGTTTATCTACCTAGATCAGTCTATAGATACATTATTATTTTAATTAATAAAATAAAATAAATAAAAAATATTGATTGTGCAATTAATAACGTTTTAACATGATTTCTCAAATAATTGAATGCTTTGGACAAATCCGCAAGATTTTGTAGCATTTTTTACCATTTTTTAGACCCAATTGAATTTTGTGACACGGGCTTCACATCTGTAGCAGAAGACACGCACGTGCAAGCATTGTGCCACACGCCGAGAATGTATGATAATTTTTGAGTTTCGGACAGATTGCATTCGAAACAGGTCGTTCGACAACAGTAACAGCACCAGACATGGCACTTCTACAGTCCGAGCTACCCTCGTCAGCCATCTTGAAAAAAGTCATGCAAAAAATTAGGATTGTGAAGAGAATGTGGAACTTTCTTTCTTTTCGCGACCTTCGTTCGTCATTTTTGGCAGGACTCCTGTAAATGTCCATTTTTGAATGTGGTGATCAGTCAGTCGTTTAAGACTTAAAAATATTACTTAAATTCGAATTATGTTGAAATGGAAAAGTAAAAGAAACAACAAATTTTTTATCAGATAACATTCTATAACTCGACTTTTAAAAAATTCTAGAAGATGTGAATCAGTTATAGTTAAAATTTTTAATCTGAACATGTTAAAAAATTGTGGTATTATTTAACTAATAAAGTCCAAACGCAATTTTTTGTCCAATATACCGTGGACTACATGTTAAAAGTCTCAGAAACGTTTTAAAATTAAAAGAAATTATTAATATTTTGTGTTAATTTAGGTTTAAAAAACTTTATTGTTACTTTACGATGTGTTAAATTCACTTTGAATAGAATTCAAACTTTGCCGACTTCACTTTGCCTCCTTTACTTTGTCCACATCACTTTGTTCATTTTACTTCGTCTATTTCACTTTGTTCACAGCCCTATATATTAGGTCATTTCCACGTACTATGAACCATTCAAACATCTTCTCGATTTAATGCTATACTAATTTTATTCTTAAATACCTGAGGCACAACATTCAAAAATGAACAATTCAAATAATGAAATAGAAACACGTATTGATGAACTAGTCACAAAATATGTGAAAAGTTTTGATGAAGAAGAAACCTTGAAAGAAATCGAAATTATCAACAGCTATTTAAAGGACAACAACAGCAACAACTTGTTCTCTGATGAAGACATTGATCACCTATCCAAATTTCTGTCTTCATGCAACGATGAGACCTCTGACAATGAGAAAGAATGGCTGAGTCGATTCCACAGCCTCACCAAAAGTCAACAGTACAATCTCGTAAAGGAGAGCCAGAACACTTATCTCTCAAAAACGTCAGAGCATTTAATTAGAGAAAAACATTTTGAAGATCCTCTATTACTTGCTGAAATCGTGCATAGGGATTATTTCTATGTTTCTGATTCTGGACATATAAGCTGCCGTATGTTGATGGGATGTTTTTGAATGAGGAATGCCCAATCTGTTTGGAGAGGTTTGAAGAAAGCTGCTTCGTGTGTGAGTTGTTCTGTCGTCACACCTATCATCTCAACTGCCTTGAAGAGTGGCTGCACGAGAGGCCAGCCTGTCCACTGTGCCAGAAGGAAATTAAAATAAGCCTTGAAAGTAGTTACGATTATGAGGAGGAGATGATGGGGGATGGTCGTTTGAAGGTCACCATCAACCTGGTCACCAATGCTTCATCAAATTAATGCTTTTCAATATCAGGATTCAATATTCCATAAAAAATTGTTTTTCATTGGATCATTTTCTACATAAACTTCATGTTTTATTTTCAATATGTTTTGACTTTTCGGATGATTTCAAATATTGTTGATAAATTTTTCATACAATTTTTGATGTCAGTAGTCAAATCTTTGTCTGGATGAGCACTATCATCTTAATTTGCTTAGATAGTTTAATTTACCCAATTTAAATAAACTAAATAATAGTTTGAAAATGATATAATTCTAAAGAATAAATATTTAATGAAAAAATAGGCAAACTTAACTAAAAAATAAACGAATTTAGCAAAACGACCCGGAAGCCAAAAAGTAATAATTGCTTACGTCAGCCTTGAATTATCAAACAAATTTTAAAAGTTCATAAGTAAAGTTGTTCTAGTAAAGTTCATATGCAATATATTTTCATATTAACAATTTAGGTTTCATGCCTCATCTTAGACCGCTTCCACTAAGGATATATAATATATATAAATATAATAATTATAATATAATATAATTATAAATATGACATTACATATCCATAATTTCCACATTAAGCAGTAAAGAAGTAACACATTAAGTGTCGTGTTTCGTGGTTTGAAGAGTTGAAACTAATCTAGACAACAAAAAGCGTAATGCACGTATACTATTTTATTACGGTTAAATAAATATAACGAGTAACAAGTTCTATAATTAACGAATACAATAAGGCATGTTCACAATTAAAGTCACGTTAACAATCAATTGTCGCCAATCAACAATAGAATAATAATTATCTATGTGTCCTGCGCATAACATTAAAAAAATTTTGAATTACTCTGAATAAAATTTAGCAATAAGGTTAACCAGGGGTGAGCACATTTTTGCTGTGAGGGCCTCATTGAGAGCTATTTTACCTTTGAAGGGCCGCATATGTACTTGAATAGCAATTTTTTTCGACCCGGGAAAGAATTGTTTTAAGATTTTTGGCTTTTATTGATGTCATAATGTTTGGCTGATGACCTTTTTAAGCGAACAAGGCCTAGCGGGCCGCAAAAATAGCTCCACTGTGGTTTATCTACCCCTAAAGTAAACGGGTTGGCATAAAAAGGTCGCCAATTTTAAAGGTTTAAAAAGTTATAAAATCATCTCTTCCAACCACAAAAATCTGGAGCCGCTAATGTTTCGTTCCTGTCAGTTTCAAAATTTCCCACCCTAAATTTAATGTGAGGAGCAAATATTTCGAACCTAAAATTGCGCTAAAATGACCTATAATGATAAATTCTACAAATAATATGAAAACATCAAACAAACAAATCATATAAACGGCGTGAATGTGGTGAACAAGTTGAAGTCATTTCAGTTTTTAAAGGTTGTCACAAAAATTCATATCCGAAATTGATGTTGTATCAATAAAAAAGTGAAAAGAAAGAATGTAATCTTCAGTTATATAAACATGATCGCTGTTATCATTTGACTTTAGAAGTAAAAGGTAAAAACTTTTAATTTCGTCTGCGCGAGTGTTAAAATTTGTGTGATTTAATTGAAATAATAAAGTCCAAACGCAATTTTTAGTTCAACGTACCGTGGACTACAATGTTAAAGTCTCGGAATCGTTTCAAAGTTTACAAAATTATTAATAAAATTGGTCTGCCGAACGTCGCATTATAAATTTTAATTATTTATAAGCAATATTCGAAAAAAATTTTGATTAAGAATAAAGAATAATAATTTGACGAAGATGGGAATGAGAACTCTGTTTTGCCTACTCACTTTTGGCGTGGCAGTTTTTGCCGCAGGTTGGTTGTTCGTAGGTCGTTAAATAGTATATCGATTTAAAAATGCTAAAACAAAACAAATTCACTAAATTGAGTTGGCATTAAACTATTCATAAACGAAATGTTTTTATTGGCTACTATCGTTAAAAAAAATTGTATGTAAGCAATGAAACCTAGTCTTTGAGTGAAACTCTTTTTGTGATTTTTAAATTTAAAATTTGTTTAAAAATTCCATTCAGATCTGAACGAATATTGCGATGTAAGAAAATTTTCAATTAATTTATAATTTAAAGCAAATTGAAAAATTAGTTTTGTATAATAAATAATCAACATTCACATGCACGAGATCGATCACATGCAAACATTAACTTTCAGGCCGATACAAGCTGTGGATGGAATTTGAAATGCGACTACGAAAAATCAAAATGCGGTCAGTCAGCTGTTTGAATATTAAATAAATTACAACATTCAAATTTCTATGAAAGTTCTCTAGAACATCGAGAAATTTTGAAACAATTCAGTGTGTGACGACAGTATCTGTGCTAGAGGATGCCCGAGCGAATATGAATACGATCATAATGGGTGCAGGAAATGCTTGTGCAAAGGTTTCGTTGTGCTGATTTGTTTCATTTTTAATGCAAAAACAGACATCACCTTCTATGTTAAAGAAGTTTTTTATTAGGACTCATGATGATAAATTGCAACTAACAAACAGGCTGCAGTGGAAGGCAATGTAGGATGCGTTGTCCACTCGGGTTCACAACTGACGAGCAGGGATGCCAGTCTTTCTGCACGTGCAACAGTTAGCCTCGCATTCAATTGTGCATTATCAAACAGAAACAACTATCTAGTTAAATTAATTAAACGCTAATTATTATTGTTAATTAATTATATTTTTTGTATGTTATTCAGCTGAAGAAACAGTTTGCAAGGTTTGTTAACTATTTGACAAAGTTTAAATTTGTTTTTAACATAAACGTGCCGATATTGCTACGTTCAAATTTCATACTTCCTGCAAAAAAACAACTGTAAATGAGATAAAACAACCGCCTCCACCTTCATGACAGAACATCTGGTGCACTGCCCCTCGTGTGTGCAACCCTCGCAATGGCAGATGTGGTGAGTACAGTCATTTTAATTCTGCATAACTGCGCCTGAATCATTAATTTAAGCCCGTTTTTTTAACTGAAAACATAATTTTTCAAAAATTTCCATATCATACTATGAAATGTTGGTGTTAGGGGTGTTTTACGTCAAAGTCTGCCTTTACGCGTGAAATTTTAGCCATAAATTTACTCAATGATGTCTGTTCGAATTTTCAAAATTGAAATCAACCAAGTAGTATTGAAATTAATTTTTAATGTGATTAAATACAAGTTTTTATATTAGTTTTTCATAATTTATGAATATTCAAATTTAATTTCAACTGTATGGACTTTTATTTTATGAAATGTCTTAAATGTTTTTTGGGTTGTCGATGACAGATTTTTTGAAAACACTTGTAAAAACAAATTTATTTCCAGAAATGCCTCTTACGGGCTAGGATCCACCTCGTTTGAAGTACTTATCAACACATCTTGAATGTCACTCGTTTATTTTGTTGATACTTACAAACTTTTCAAATAAAATTTGAACCAAAGTTATAAATACATTTTTGATAATCTAATAAACAACTTTGGTAGTAAAAAAAGCTGACTTTACAACTTCTATTAATAATAACTTAACATAAAAACTTTTTCTACATAACTAAAACACGTGCAGACGAAATAAATTATGTTAATCAAACGTGCAAACGAAATATATTATGTTAATCAACTCAACGTTGAAATGATTTATTTATCATAAATAAAAAAGGTAACCTTTAAGCCCATTCACTTCTTCTCAAAAACTTTTTAAATTGAGTCGACGTTCATGTGGGATCAGACATCATTGCATTGTATTGTACGTTGAATAGCAAACAAAAGTTAGATAAACTATTTTATTAATAACTGTCACACGGTTTTGTCTTGGTAGTAAAGAAAATGACATCGGTTTCTTATCAGAGGAGGCTTTGATGTGATTCAGACAGAAGAAACCACAATGAGAAAGCTGCATGGCTTGTGTCAGTTACTTGAGCAGGACCAAGATTTGCTCTCTGCGACCACATGTCTCTCCGTTGGAACAGGTTATGAAGAATTTGACATTGAATTTATTCGAAAATATTTGCCAGAGTTGAAAACATTTGTTGCTGTTGAAATAAACGGCGAATGTTTAGCTGAACTGAAGAGGAATCTTCAAAATTAGTTTGGTGGTAGGTTGCAAGTTAAAATTTTTGAGATGTCTATGGAGAGTTTTCTTGAAATTTTTGGAAAAAGCAATAAAGACATTTCACAGGAAAGCTTAATACTTGAAAAAAATTTAAGAGTAAAAAACTTTAAAAATATATTTCACCAAAAAATTGATCTTGTACTCTCACTGCATGAAAAGAAACCAAACCGAACAGAGAACTGTCCTACAGACTCTGTTTTGATCAGTGGCTCAAACCCGAAAAAGGACAGTTAATCTAGGCCATGGCCAATGAAAACAGTTAGTTCACTCTTTTTCGTAAAGGAGATTTTGAAATCCATCTCATTAGGTTTTATTTCCTAAATAATAAAAGAAGAACTTTATAATGCAGGAGTTTCCGTGTTAAAAGAAATTCAATACAAAAGTCCGTTGAAAATGACGCATTTAGAGGATGGCTTCCGAATAATTTTTGGTGAATTTGAAGCAGATGATGCCAGCGATGAAGACTATTTCTCCAGATGGAGTGGAGGGGAACGACTGCGATTTGTGCGTTTGCGTGTAGATCAATGAGACGTAAAATAATTAATTTTAATGGTTCAAATAAAACTGTCAAAATGTTGTGACCTTAATTCGTATTTGGAAATTTTCAGAAATATGATTCGAAATTATTTTTCGGCAAATTTCCAATATTTTATTTGCTTGCCTGTTCAACATTCATGAACTTATTGTCTATCATAAATCTCATTTACGTGTGCGGTGCATACAAACTAAACAGATTGGAATTTTTTTTAATGTAAATATTTAAAATATGCACCACCTAAACAAAATTGACTGGAATCTCTTTGCTTAACTTTCAAAAAAATTCAACCAAATAAATATAAACGATTGAAATAGTTTGCCTGAAGTAAAATTTGAAAAAGAGAAGAGAAGTGTTTGGAAAAAACTAAAACATTGTTGTTTCAGCCATCTGCTTTTCAAACAGCACCTCTGAGATATGATGGAATACACTCATTGTTACTAATCTACCCAATATACTAAGAATTCAACTTTTAACCCCAGATCTTCTGTCAATCACAGCACAATCAAAATAAAAATATTAGTCGTCAAATTCACATCAACTCTCTACCCAACTCTTCAATTTTACGCAATAAACAGGCTGCCCCGTGATGACCAGGATTCTCAGAAAACAACAAACACAGCCGGCAATGTTAACAAATCAATCAGACCAATTAGTCATTCACCATTTTTATATCCGTCACACATTTTACATTCCCTTATTTGGAAAATAGAATTCAACCTCAATCGTATCATACACTCATTGTTACTAACAATCAAAAACACGTCCCATACCCTGCGTCTGGGCAAACACGACTACAGTATAGCCAAACAATATAGCGCCATCTCCTCCAAATTTTCAACGTACCAAAACAGTTTAATTTCAAGTCACCATAACTCTACCAATCCCCGAACGTGGCTGAGTCTCTATAAGAAATATAATTATATTTCAAATAAATTGATTAATTAATCGATAAAAAAATCTGAAAAACCTTTCAAAAAAGTTAGGATACAACAATTTGAATGGAATATAAACTTTACTTTATAATTCATATTTACTCTGGGAACAATAAAAAATAAGGCACATTCATTCCGCTTGTTTAAATTGTTTAACTTGAATTCATCGCAAAGTTCTTCAGACGATTCATCATTTAAAGTTTAAGCTTACTTGTTGTTAATAGAAACAAAAACGTGCAAAGTTCGAAGTGTAATATGCGTTTAATGTATAAAATTCATTCCAAACATAAGGTAGCAACAGATTGGTACGACACAACAACCATCATTCAACGGTCTGAAAGTGAAGATTTCACAAAGATGGACATGAAGATGATTGCAATTCTTTCGGCATTTTTTGTGGTTTGTTTGGCGTCAAGTTGCTCAGCTGCCACCGGTAAGTTCAGTTTGTTAGTTAGTTTAGGATCAATATATAAATTATTTAAATAAATCAATGTACATTTATGATTTATATCTCCAGGATCAAATTTGCCTACTTTGGATTTGATGGAGTTTCTCGAGAAAAAAAGGTTGTACGGAGAATCAAAAGAGTTTAAAATTTTTGATTTCATTAAATCGTACAAATTCTTGTGGGAATTTGAACGAGATAAAGATTTGAAGCTGACGACATTGGAACGTTACATGGTCAGCAATCAGCCTGAGAAACCACTCTACTTAATGGACTACGACGACTCCAGACTATTCAGGTTGAGTCAGGATGAACGCAAGGAATTATTCGACCTAATCAAACAAAGAGTAATTAAACTGGCCTGATTGTCTAAAGAACAACAAAATATTTTCTGTCATGAATCAGTCAAAATATAAACAAAACAATATTTGCTCTTAATTTTGTAAAAGATAGTTAAAACTATTTATTTATTTTTTGTCATTTATCTGCTCGTGTAAAGGACTAATAGTTAAACTGCCTGAGACGGTCCTCTGTTGTCTTGATCTGGTTCTCATGCAAAAAGAGGTTTAGCGTATGATACTCAGTAGATATGATGCTTAGTATGATACTCAGTAGGTAATGATACTCAGTAGGTATGATACTCAGTAGGTATGATACTTAGTATGATACTCAGTAGGTATGATTGCTAGTATGATACTGAGATACATTCACACAAATGTATAATCTTTGACGGTGTTGTATTATCATACTACGCATCAAGTAAAAAACGTACATGCGGCTTTTAATCAAGTGTAAACATTGTCATGATTGTTATCGTTGTCGCCATTTTATTTTGATACGCGCCAAGTAGAGTTGTCTACATAACTCAAAAACCGTATTGCCAATATTTATAGCCGTTTTAAAATGTATCGCCAAGACCATCACCGATATTCATTTCCGAAAGTACCTATTGCCAGTCCAAACCAATAACGGTACTTTTGTTTTTCACGCGTTGGTACACAAAAGCAGAACATTTTTCCCCATAAATAATGCATTTAGTAATTTGTATGTGGTATGAAAATGATTGAGTAACGAATGTTTGAATCATGAAATATAAAGCAAGTTAAAATATAAATTTAAGTTTATGACCGGATTTTGAGCAATGAAAGCTCAGGCAATAAAGGGAAAAGGCATGATTATGTGGATGCAAAGGACGGCAGATTCAATGTTCACTAAGTAATTTTTCATTAGATTATATAGGGTTTTAAATGTAGCAGCAGTTTTCTTATTTTCAATATTTTTTTATTTTTCAGACTTTTTTGGAGATTTTAAATAAAATTTTTTAAAAGATTACCTCATCAGTATGATTTCGTCTACAAATTCGAACGGTTTAAACCGCATGGTGGAAGAAGCCAATAACTATCCAACTGAATGAACGAACGAAAATGATAGGTTCATGTTAGAGAGCTACCAAAAATTTTTTAGTGAAAATAAGCAAAAGCTATCAGAGCTGGAAACTGAAAACTTTATCAATAACATGGATCAGATGAAAATTTCAATGGAAATGGATGACAAGAAACCCAGTACGGCTTCCAACAGATTTTACGGCAAGATGAGTTATGACTTGTCAGTGAAAGTGCAGGACTTCTACTTTGAAGAGTTGAGTGCCAGAAATGTTACAATACGCAAAACTCGTTTGAATCTGGTCGTCAGCGGTGTTTCCATGAATTGTACAATTCGTCATCACGATTCATTCATCGATGCTTTGTCAAACTACCGCCACCGTATATATCACCTTCCGTACCACAAAAAAAGATTTCATTACAGTGAATGTGTAATCTGTAAGGAACAATTAATGGAGAGTTCCTGCGTGAAAGAGTTTCCATGCTACCACGTCTTCCACGATGATTGTATCAACAGTTGGCTGGACGTAAAACCATTTTGTCCAATTTGTCGTGACTTCATAGCGGTCGATCCGATAGATCACAGAAGATACAGCAGAGAGGAGCAAGAAGATGGCACAACGCAACTCTTCATCAATATAGTCACACCATTCCTCGAGGATTTGAAGAATTCGAAGTTAACATAGCTATAACATCATTGAATAATGGATGATAGCAAAATTTTGAAACTTGAAATAATCTGAACCAGTACATATTTTAATAACGATATACATATTATAAAATTATGTCGATATAGTGCATATTACTAGAATAGAATCATGGAGATAATAGTTTGAAATTTAAACAATCCTTTGTCTTGCATACCGAATTAATTTTTCATTTTTCGAGTTTTTGAATGTGCAAAGTTGTATAATAATATAATTTGTCAATTGAATGAATAACTGGCCTAGATAAATATTTAAAAAATTGTTTTATATAACCTGACGATACCAATTGAGATTGAATGTTAATTCTTTTGAAGTTTTGTTAATATGTATTAAAAATTCATACGTATTATAAGTTTATACGTTTATAGATATTTCAAACTCTAGCGAACAATTTAGTTAATCGATTGTTCTCAATGATTTATTTTTTCGACCCGCGGAGAATAGTTTTAAGACTTGCGGCTCCTTTTATTTGGTCATTATGTCAGGCTTAAGACTTTTTTTGGCGAACAAGGCTTCGCGGGCCACATAAAATAGCTTCGCGGGCCCAATCAATCAATCAATCAATCAATCAATCAATCAATCAATCAATCAACCAATCAACCAATCAATCAATCAACCAATCAACCAACCAACCAATCAATTAACCAACCAACCAATCAATCAACCAACTAACCAACCAACCAACTAACCAACCAATCAACAAACCAACCAATCAATCAACCAACCAACCAACCAACCAATCAATCAACCAACCAATAAATCAACCAACCAACCATCCAACCAACCAACCAACCAACCAGCCAATCAATCAACCAACCAACCAACCATCCAACCAACCAACCAACCAGCCAATCAATCAACCAACCAATTAACCAGCCAACCAATCAACCAACCAACCAACCAACCAATCAACCAACCAATCAATCAACCAACCAACCAATTAATCAACCAACCAATAAATCAACCAACCAACCATCCAACCAACCAACCAACCAACCAGCCAATCAATCAACCAACCAATTAACCAGCCAACCAATCAATCAACCAACCAATCAATCAATCAGCTTGTAAAGCGCCATTTCCGCGATGTTCAACAGCGCTCCTCAAAGAATTTTACAAAGAGATGGGTCGTGATCCATTTTGAGCTTCGCAAGTGATGGAGAAGTAATCAGAGGAGGTAAAAACATCTAGAGAAAAGGGACAGAAGAAGCAAACGCAGATTTAGCAAAAGAGTTAAAACGAGTTAAGTAAAAGTGAGAATAAGAAGAAATTACAAAGTCTTTGATAGTTCATTAAAAATTAAATTAAAAACTGTCGAAACCTGAATTTGTTAAAGAGTAAAACGATAGCTGATTTAAACTTCGGGCCTCACGAATGAATGAAGCAGTCAACTTCCTCAACATAAAGTCCAATTTCAATGAAACTGAGTTTCACCAAGTGTAACAACATGCCAGGCATCAGTTGGAAATACAACGGCAGTTGCGTCATTTCGAGCGGTCTAAAATAGTGTAAGAGCAAAATAAACTGATAAAATATGAAAACTTTCCCAACTTTTTCTTTGAAAAAATTGGGATTGGAAAAATAACTTTTTTTTAAATAAATTGGGATTTAATTTTTTTTGAAAAATTAACACCAGAGAAACCAACAAAAATTTACTAAAAGATGTGGGTTACAGATATTATTCAAAAACTTTTAAGACAAAGAATTTCAGAATTTCACCCCAGGTATTATCAAACAATTTTTTGTCAAACAATTTTTTGTTTTTTTTTTCTTTTTTTGTTCTGCGAGATGTTGTTTTCGGAAATTAAAATTTGTGCAATTTATTATCAGTTAATTCATGCGTAAATTTGATTTTAAAAATGTACTAGTTATTGTAATATTTATTTGAGCTGCAAATAACAAGACACAGGGTGACCAAAAAGAGTCCAAAAGGACCCACCCAGCAGGGCCATCTTAACAACAAACTCATAAATTTCATAAAATTAAATTAACTTGAAAGAACGTTGGAATGAAATTTTCTCAACATGAAAAGTCCGCTCAATGTAGAATTCATTAAGTCTCAAATACTGGACGTCAAGAAATTATATTACTAAGCCCGGCCCTGACTAGGAGATAAAGAGATATATGGATTCTCGTCATTAACAGCGTTGTTCTTGTTGAATTTCGTAAAGAACTCCGGGGTGACCTCTTCATAGGATGGGTCAACTTGCATCTTAAGACCTGTCAGTCTTCTGAATAGTATAAAAATATATATCGTTTATTCCGCTTCAAACGCGTTTTATGGAAGTTTTTTTATCACAAACATTTGTTTTGTTATTGTTTATCTAGTTTAAATTATCTAAAATGACAAAATTTCACAAAATCCAATAAATACTTGGACTGTTTTTTAAGTTTCACCAGCATGGATGCTAAAATAACGATAGCCATTATCAAGGAAGGCAATATAATTCCGAAACTGATGGCTAAACCTGTGCAAATGTCGACAATTTTATAAAATAAGAAAAAATTGAAATCAAATTACGATGTTAATTATTAACTTAAACAAAAACTGATGCACCCGCAGAATATTTTATTTGTGAAAGTTTAAATGTTTAACTTCTGGTTTGCTTGTTTGTTCTTATTTTTATAATTCGCAATAAATTTCAAAACTTTTCAAATTTTTTTGATTTCTTTCATTCTACAGGACACTAGAAGTTTATTTCGGCTTATAAACTATTTTGGGTTTGAGATGCTCGGTAACTAAGGCAACAATTACTTTTAAAAACTTTTCGTTCAAAATTTAATTAGCGAATTGAATTTCAATGCTTGAGGTGGCGAATTGGGGAAGACAGCGTGGAAGGGCAGTTCTCACGTTTATCTTAATGACCTTAAACTTTTATACGTTGATTAAAGCATTGATAACAAGTGCATTCTAAAAAAACCAGACATGAGCAAATTTTTGCATATAAAAAGTCATTTTTTTCTTCTCATTTTTTGACACAAACCCATCAATAAAAGCATATAAGCCCATTTCATTGGCCAAATATGGAATTTGGATCAACGGTGAAAATGAAACAAGCACGAGTGCTTCTAAAATATGAATTTTTCAGTCAAAAATTATCAGGAGAGGGAGCTAAATGACACCTTGCCTCTTTGAAGAAGTTGGGTGGGGCCTACGGTTAGTAACATTTTTAACAGCTGGCAATTAAAAAGCGATATTCGTACAAACTTTGAGTGAATGCATCATCGTTAGACGTGTATGAAGTGTTTGCGTTGGGATCTTGGGGGTCGAAAATGCCGGAAGCTGAAACTATCGAACTCTTCGACGATGGTTTCATCAAGTCCGTTGTTGTCGTTGGTGATGGAGGTGTTGTGGCGAAGTTTTTATTTTCTTGATGATTAATTATAAATTAAAGTGTTTTACGTTATTTAATAAGCATTTTTTTTTTCAATACGTGACAAATTTTTTAGTTTATTATTAATTTATTAAAATCGAACCGCTAATTTATTGATCGGTGGTGATTAAATAACAGTGAAATATTAAATTTCAACCCAAAAACGTTTAGTTTAACCTTGCATGCAAATGACGTTAAATATAGGTGGTCTAATACTGCAATCGTTCATAATAGGGTTGTTTTCTATAAACGTTGTTAAAAATATGCGATAATTGTACAGCAAATCATTTGGAAAACCATCTAACCAATTGGGGTTGTTTAGAGGCTGTTCTATTGTTTGGAAATTGAAAAGTTAAAATTTAAAAAGCTAAATTTTTATCGAATCCATTTTGTTTTTGTTAGAAATGAAAATTTGAAACCTATAAATATGAACCGTACAAATGTTAAATTACAAATTTAAACCATAATCATGTGCATTTATTTACCTAACATTACATTTGTTTGCTCATCTGCTAGAATTATTTTTTATTTAAAAAAATGTTCAAGTTGTCGGTAATTGTAAAACAAAATGGAGCATCTGCCTGCTCGCACGAATACATTCAACACTGCTTTGAAAAAATACACAAGCGGTAGGTACGTCGTCAATATTTCTCAGTCCAGTAAACAAAGACAAATAATTTTCTGACAAACTTTTTGTAACATTTTCCAACCTGTTTTTTTCCACGTTAACAACGTTCTCGATAGACCGATCCAATATCTATCATTAGTTAGATCCAGCTGATTCCACATTTGCTTGATATCATCCGCGCTCAACTCATCCAAAACAGCCAAACCTCCACCCAACTTGGCACACATGTAATGGCCTTTGTACCAGCTTAACCTTCCGTCTAAAGGAAAATAACATGTTTTTCCACGAGACCAAACCCGAGCTGCAAGACAACTAGTGACATCTGGATATTTATGAAATTATTTTGAAAGCCATCATGGTAGGATTGGATGCCAAAGTAAGTGGAGCTCTTAATTGAAAGTACCGTTTGTTATAATGTTCAATACCGTGCAACGCATGAAAATATTTCAATAAGAAAATAATCAAACTTGCTTTTTGTAGAACACAAAATACTGTTCAAGCTTCTTGGATTATCAGCCACGTATCTCAGAGTTTCTTCACTATCCACACTCGGATGTGCTTTGATTAGGCACACCATGGTATTTAAGTTGTCCTCTTGGTTGGCAACTTCACCGGTAACTGAAAATTTCCATAAAACAAATCGAATGTTTATTTCACAACCTCCACCATGAAATACATGAACACAATTTAGCAAACCTAAAAATTTTTTGCGAGATTTAACGAAATAATTTTGAAATTTAAACAAACTAACACGAAGCACCATTGACCCACATCATCTTATTTGGAGACATTTCTGTCCCCAGGAGGAAAATTTTACGCTGTAAGCCTTTACAAGCAACAAACTGATCAACCAGTTGTTGAACATCGTCGTCGTAAATCTCCAACAGCCATCCATCGCGGTTATTTTTAGAGCACAAATTGGTTGAAACCTCGTTGTAATGATGCCATTCATCATCAGCCAGGTACAAGCAGTACTTGGAAGTGGAACTGCAAGTTAAATCAGAACAGCTCACTAGGGACGACAATAAAATAGTTGAAAAAACAATCACTAAAATCTTAGAGGCCGGCATTTTATAATTATCTGTGAGAGAAACACACTACTTCTTCTGAAATATGTTCACACACTGGCCAAGTTTTCAAGAAATCAAATATACGAACATCTTGATGATACATGTGTGCTGGTATGGCAGTGATGATCTATTCTGGGTGATGTATGATTGCGCGTATGAGTGTGCGTGCTGTATGTTTGTGCTTTTGTTAGTAAGCTTATGTTCCTTACAATACATTATATAATATTTTACAACTTATTACCCGATATAAAGGAATTCTACTCCTGTTTTATCAGCATATTAACATTGTTTTGTTACTCAACAGTTGTTATCCTGCTGTTATTGTCTACTGGTGGTCTCCCTGAAATAATTTTTCATGGTTTTTGAGTCTTACAATCTATCAAGCAGGTGTGTAAATAAACGAAATCAACTCATGTTGCATCGTGATGGTATTTTTTCTGACAACTTTCGTTATCAAGTTCATAAATTTGTATATTGTACGATATACATATAACAGTTGAAATGATTCTTAAATCTTATCAACATTTTATTATTATTATTTATATTGTTATATATATATATATATATATATATGTGTGTGTGTGTGTGTGTGTGCGTGTGTACATGAGTGTAAGTATGTATATGTGCATATACAATACAGAAGTGGTAATAACAAAAATGCACAAAGACCACATTAAAGCTTAATCTTTATAATGAAGGCATTTGGCTCGAAAATATATATTATATTGTATATTTTATCTATGTTATATTGTATATTATATCTATATGTATATAGAAAAAGAAAGATAGATAGAGAAAAAGAGAGAGAGAAAGAGAGAGATTCATATCCTGCTTCATCTTAAAGCAACAATTATTTTAATTATCCTTAATCACCTGTTCGACTACTCAGTTATCTTCAACGAATCAAAATTTTCTCAGACTTTAAACTCGAGGTAGAGGTGGACGAAATAAGTTTCCACTACAATTTCCTTTCATCTAAATTTTTAATTCCCCCCTATTTACCATGCTCTGACTTAACACATTCCCATTTCCTTTCCATTCCCGAAAAGACATTCCTCATGTTATTAAGCTGACAAACGAGGTAGCAAGTGTGCACATAATTAGACAAACAACTCCGTATAAGTAATAGATAAACTGTCTTTTTCCCCTCCAAAATGATACTATGTCTGTGCCTCTGTTGACCTTTAATAAGAGAATTCTCCTCTACAGTGTGTCGAATCATCCGAACCATGCATCCGAACCTCTCGAATCGGCAACGTCATCAATTCTGAATTTGTTCGCAATTGTTAATAAACATCCCCGTATTTTCAGCCTTATTGAGTTGGTTGCAATTCAACTTCCTGTGCAGTTCTGTAATTTTACAATAAAATTACGACACCTAGAATGGGGAAATTAATTAAAAACCAATTAACGCTGAAGCGCAGATGTTTAACAATCGCACGTATGGCAGTAGACATTAATATAAAAAAAATGGCTTTAATATTTTTGTATATCTTCTTGTTTAATGTTACCCCGCCTGCCACACGAGATCAGTAAAAATGAAAATTTTGTAGAAAGAAAGGTCATCAGCTTGACATTTTGAGAATCATCCCCCGCCGAAACGGGAATTAGCCAAATGACATCATTTTAGAGCCTTGAAAATCATTACCTCTCACCGTGAAGTTATGGATCCGCCACTGGATCCCACTTCGAGTTATTGGCTAAGGCAAAATGCCTGATACTCTTATTCGTTTACTGGGTAAGAATATGCCGTCGTTTTACTGTTAAACTTAAGATGCCGCATACATTTTTTTCCTCCTACATAACCCGACAGGACCTTGCTAGTTGTCGAATTGTCCAGTTATTTAACAAGGTCCAACTAGCGAAAAAGCACTTTTAACATGGGCAATTCACAAGCACATTCTTGTCATAAACGTAGGGCTGCGTGATGGTCTAGTGGTTAGGGTCGCCTGGTGCTTTCGCAGTGCCTGCAGTGACCGGGTTCGCACGCTAAAAAATCCCCGCTTATCACATGCTTCGAGTGGGGCGCGTCGTTTAGCATGTATTCATGTATTTCGTTGGTGTGTTGTGGATCTCTCTGAGCCCAGAAAGTGAGAAAGAGAGAGAGAGAGAGAGAGAGGAGATAGAGACCTTTTGTCGTAGCTTACCGTTCCATCAAAGATATGCAAATGCAAAATTAGGCGATAGCCTAAGTCAATTAATAAAGAGCTTTTTTTGTAGAAAATATTATAAATATTATAAATTATTTCATTTTGAAAATAACTTTATCAAGTTCACAATTTATTTACAGATACCATTAAACAAGAAGATATACAATGGAAACAAGACACAATATTTAAGAGGTTAACGTCAAATCAAGTAATCTTTCTCTTCAGTTGGTTGTCTCGCTTGCGAAGTTCAACAACGCAAATGGAATTTTTAACGTTTTTCAGAGGTTTGAACCACCGGCCCAGCCTGTGTTCTTGTCCCACGCCAACCACCAAGTAACTGCCATCGTCAGAAAATTGTAACGAATTTATAAAGCCGTCCTGAAAGTTATAAATGTTTTAATTTCAAATTTATTTAACGAACATTTTCTGGAAATTGCGTTGAAAGAGTTAACATACAGTTATAAATTTTTAACATAACAATTGAAAATTGGAGCTTTTAAAAATTATAAGTAAAAATTAACTGTTAAAAAGAACCTTCTTCATAAGCCCTTAAAATAAAACTTATCAATTTCTTAAAGTCAGAGTGAATGTTTATTGTTTATTTCGATCTAAATACAAAGACAAATGAAGAAAATTGTTTGAAATTTTACAAAAGAAATTATTTACAAATTACTATTTAAGTAGAGAAAAGATTGATGAAATTACTTCAAAACAATAATTCGTCACGTGTCAGTGATGAATGATTCAACGACCGAACGGAAATAAAATAATTGCATAAAATAATGCAAACGCTATCCTACCAGACGCAGTGTGAACAACCTCTCCAGCGATTTGAATCCAGACGAAACCTTCCAGAACCTCAGCTGTCCATCTCTACTTCCTGCTGGTCATTTTTTTTATAAATTTAGATTATCATTATCAATCCAAGAGTTGCCTACAATTTATTTCATTTCTAGAAGATACTAAATAAGCCAAAGATATAAGATATATCAAGTTCGCCGTGCCTCTAAAAACGCAAAACTTATCCAAAAAAAACTGTTTATTGGTTGCTTAACGTTTGTTACTTGACGTTAAGTTATAAAAAGAAGATGTTCTCCGAAATGACCCAGCAACGTTTTAAGAATGTGCCTTCCCCACCGCCAACCTGAGACGATGAGGTCAGACTGCTTGAAGGCAGCCAGGGAAGATATCCACTGCTCGGATGGATTGTTGCTCTTCAAAACTATTTTATGCCCATTCCCAGCGGATTTCATTTTCCAGATGTTTCTTCCGCTGTCCTTCTCATCCTCTGGCCCACTCATCTCCTCACCATCATCGCCACCACTACCACCAGCAGCAGCAGCGGCGCTACAATCACCATTGACGACGACTAGATGGAGGTTGTTGTTGTTGTTGTCATCTGTGTTGTTGTGGGCGTTCTTCACTGTGAACACTGGCTTCTTCCTGTCCATTGTCCAGAGTGATAGCGAACTGAGAGTATTTTGATATTTGCGTAACAATAAGATGAGATTGAATAGATGAAAATCAAATGATGAATATGAAATAACGGATGAGAGGTAAGTCATTTATTTCATTTGCGAATTGTATTGTAATCAGTGATAACAAAAAATATGATGAATTTGACGTTGTCAACATTTGGTAATCAATGATCATGAAATACATCATCAACTCAACAGCAACAAAGAGAATACACTTCCAATCTCTAGACATCTAAGATAACAAATGCTAACTAACTTGTCATCAGCAGCCGAAACAAAATGATGATTGTCGATGAGTGTTATGCAGTCAATACAGCAGCCTCTGTTTAATGGATTTTTTATTTTGAGCGTGTTTTACGAGATAATATACAATTTACACAAAAATACAAATCGGTCATCTTCATCATTATCGGTCACCCTCATCAATTACCACCACAGACATTCTCATCAGTAATACCAAATCACCATCATCAAATGTTACTACACTAATCACCACTCTTTAATTTTATTATTTGAATAAATACGCCGTAGTTTCAGCACTGTGCAGAAAGCGTATTCGAACCATGTCAGTGCCAGTAACAACACAGCACACCTACTGCCTGAGCTACGATAACTTGTTATCATCGTCTCTACCAGTTACCATTACCATTTCACTAACACCTATCCCAATCCCATCATCATCATCATCACCACTAACTGTTGGCCCCGGAACACGAGATGTGATTCTTCCGGAACCTTCCAAAACCTCACCGTCCCGTCCCTCGCTCCGGACGACAGCGCCCTCTCCTGGGACAAACAATCAATCGAGATAACTTCATCCTCATGTCCGAATCTGAAACGTTCGAGTTAGTGGTCTCCATCATTACAGGCCAGTCAGCAAATGACTCGCATTGCATTGTGTGTGTAACGTGTCTGATACAGTTAACAGATTAAAAAAAAAAACTAACGACTTTTTTCCAGATTTGCAAATTACAAAAGTAATAAAGCAGAAACACGCATGAAAGCTGTAGATCTAGGCCACAGAACTTTTAAAAAACATCGCCCACACAAATTGTGGGGCGTGATAAGAATTACTCGAACAAGACTAGAGCAAAAGACAAAATAAATAATTGCTAGGATGTGAAAAAGTGAAGACGTAGGCTGAGATGGGGAGGGCCAAAAGGACAGTGGCACGCGGGTTTGTGGTCATCTTTGAAAGAGAACATCTTGTAAAAAAACAGTAAAGTTAGATCAGGCAAACTTTGTAGGATGATTTGGCATTAAAATGGAGAGGTTGAAGAGGTTTGCAGGGATTGCTCTAGTCAGGATTAACTATTGTTGTTGACTCCTTACAAACTATAACATCTCATAAGCTAGTTCTATAAATCAGCAATGAAGATAAATGGCCAATTAAATCGTTAATTCAGAAAAAATTATTCATTACCCTGAAAAAAATAATTCATCATTTTTAAAAAAAATTCATTATTATGAAAAAAGTAAAAAGAAAGATGTCAGGACACACACAGAGTTTCAACGTAGGCCATCTCGTCCAGGTTCCAGATTTTAATGCTCTTGTCCTTTGATGCTGAGAACAATTGGTGGGTACCTTGTTGGAAACATAGGCCCTGTGTGTGTGCGTGAGTGTGTGTGTGTGTCTCTGTGTGTGTGAATGCATATGTGTGCGTGTATAGCTCACAGGTAGGTGTATATATACATTTACATGTGTGGTTGTAAACATGCATGTAGATGTAGACACTCATTCACATGAATTTGAACATGCTTGTTTGTAAAAACACACATGTGCATTTCGTGGCATTGGTTTTGAATAAACATCTACAAAATGAAATCAGCCGGTGTACAAATTAAGTGAGATGATTCATTTATAAGCAGCAACAAACAAACAGAAACACACAACAACAACAACAAACACAAAACAGACCATAATGGTAGATCTGTGACCTTGAAAAGTGTGAAGGTGAGCGAGCGTGTCGGCATCCCACACGTGAATGACCTTATCCATGCCTCCAGAGGCCTTTGGATGACATTATAATATTATTGTTGATGTAATGTCATATAAGTTAATGTAATTGTAGTGTAATTGAAATGGAATGGATACAACTGATCGTCTAATTTGGCTCAAAAAATTGATGGCAAAAAAACAACGTCCTACCTCAAGGAACTGGGTCTCTGGACGCAAAACGAAGATTGATAGATTTATAATTGTAGTGTAATTAATTAATTAATGTCTTATATGAGGTTTAAAGGAAAACAAATTATAATAGACCAACAAGATATTTTCCATCTTTTGATAGTGCCAAGGCAAGTACGCTGCTTTCGTGCCCGACAGGTTTGGTTGCTGTTTCCGATATCTCTGTTGTTTTCCTCGTCTTGTTTACTCGTTTGATGATTTGGTGTTTTGTGCATGAAGGTAGTGACCCTGTGTACGTGCGTGTGCGTGTGTGTGAGAGAGAGAGGGAGAGAAATAGAGAGATAAAGAATAAGAGAGAGAGTTTATCATCGTTGAAGATCATTGCGTTGACAGCATACCCTAGCCCATGCAAACAGTCAAATCAAGAGAACATTTATCTAACTACCTTCAAGTCAGCATCAACAATTTAACAATAACATCATCTCAATCATTATCTTCATCAACACCACATCATTATCATCATCATCATCATAAGCACGTCATCGTTATCATCATAAACAAGTCATCATTACATCATCACCACGCCATCATCATAAACATGTCATCATCATCATCATCCTCACCACGTTATCATCATCATCATCATCACCACGTCATTATCATCATCATAACTACATTATCATCATCATCCCACATCATCATCATCACCAACACTTGACAATTGTTCCATCTTTTGAGGCGGAGTAGAGCCAGTTATTATTTGATGACACAACGACACAGGTCACGACCTTTAACTTGCTCCACGTACACATCTTCATGTCACTCTCAACAGGCACCAAGTACTTTTTAAGGAATTCGGTTGGAAAAATTTAACTCAAGTTATGAAAAAAATGTAGGTGGAATTTAACAAATTCTTTTGAGGTTTACTTTGATAAAAACTCAAATGGTCATTTGGCTTCGGATATTTTAAGGCCAAATAGTGTGTGTGTGTGTATGTGTGGGTGTGTGTGGAGTGTGATCGTTATATAATAATGAGCTAACCTTATCTGCAACATTGTGATGCAATCTTCCAGATCTTTCTAGCTAGAAATAAGAAAAATATCATTCAAATAATCTATTGCAATTTCATTAACACTTGTGTCTATTTATGTTCATGTGTGTGTGTGTTTGTTTGTGTGTGTGTGAACAGTAGATTTGCGGCATAATGAGTGAGTTGAAAGAAGTGAAAGAGATGACGAGATACTCACTACGTCATTCTTAAGGTAGCTCTTTACATCCTCGTCTTCATTGGACACTACGAGGTCAATGCATTTTGTGACACGAGATAAGAGTAAAAAATTTTAATCATGAATTTCAACAAAAAACAATAATTCACAGATGTTTCAAAAAAAAGATAGCATAGAAAAATAATTAGAAATCTAATTATTTTTTTATTTTTTATTAATTATTATTAAATAATTATTTATTTATCTAATTGGACACTACGAGGTCAATGCATTTTGTGACACGAGATAAGAGTAAAAAATTTTAATCATGAATTTCAACAAAAAACAATAATTCACAGATGTTTCAAAAAAAAGATAGCATAGAAAAATAATTAGATTTCTATGTAGCAAAAAATACTCTCTCACAATTATCTTTAATTTTTTCTAGCATGAGTTTTGCAAGTCTGTTTCTCTTCTCGGCTGCAGTTTCATTTTCATCTTCTGAGGATGACGATACGTTGTCTTCATCTACCTTCTCCCCTTCGCAACTGGTGGTCATTGTGAGTTTGTTTGTTTCTTGGTTAGTCAATGTGTTTGTTTGTTGGTCATTGTTGGCGATGGATATTAATAATAATTACAAGCATTATGAAAAAAAATGAAGCCACAACACAAACGAACGAACCAACAAACAAACGAACCAACAAACGAATGGACAAACAAACCTGTCATCATCATCACTCTCGAGGATTTCTTCCAAGTCAACTTTTTTAACTTTCTTCCTCTCCTCTGCATTTTTTTGGGCGATTTTTCTTTTCTTTTTCTTTGGAAGGTCTCGATTCTTTTTAGTAACTTTCGGCATATTAAACAATAATAATCTTCAATAAATATAATATTATATTAATTATATTATATAATTAAATATTTTTAAAGAGCAAAGCGAGCGATATAACAAACACAACACACGTTGTTGCGGCATGAAGCGAGACGGACAGAAGTGTGTTTACATAGATAAAACAGTATTAACAATGTTTGAGAATAAATAAAATACGGAAATTTTTTGGCAAAACTGTAGATATAGTAAACTAGGAGATTTCTAAATTGTAGATTTCTAGACCTATATGAAATATTTATAACTTAGTTTTTGTTCGAATGTGCTCGGGTGTTAACACGCTGGCCATCATGGAATTATAATAAGCAAGGTGTGGTCTTAAACTATTTTGAATTTTCCACGAAAAATTTGAACTGTGTGCGTACATAAATAGCAATGATTACTGTTGTTTTTATAATGAATTTATAAAATATATAAATATAGCGAGCAAAATTTTAACATAAAAGCGCTTATAAATCTATCCATATTGGCTCAGCTTGGCTTGGCTCGGCTTGGAATCGGATGTTAAGCAAGGTGTGATCTTAAACTATTTTGAATTTTCCCCGAAAAATTTGAACTGCGTGCGTACATATATAGTAATGGCTACTGTTGTTTTTTATAATGAATTTATAAAATATATAAATATAGCGAGCAAAATATTAACATAAAAGCGCTTTTAAATCTATGCATATTGGCTCAGCTTGGCTTGGCTCGGCTTGGAATCGAATGTTAAGCAAGGTGTAGTCTCAAACTATTTTGAATTCTCCCAGAAAAATTTGAACTGCGTGCTTACATATATAGTAATGGCTACTGTTGTTTTTTATAATGAATTTATGCATATTGGCTCAGCTTGGCTTGGCATGGAATTGGATGTTAAGCAAGGTGTGGTCTCAAACAATTTTGAATTCTCCCCGAAAAATTTGAACTGCGTGCTTACATATATAGCACTGATTACTGTTGCTTTTATAATGAATTTTTATTATATATATATAAAGTGACTGAAATCCATGTATACAAATAATTAAATTATATTATATTATATGTTTATATGAAAAGCAATATAGCAGATTCAAACAGCCAACCAGAAAGTTTCGAAGGCGTTCGTTCGATGATGTACCGGCAATGGTTTACTATCCGGACGGCAATGGTTTACTATCTGCACGGTAATGATTTACCATGCGGCACGGCCATAGTCTACTACCCGCACGGCTTCCGGACGGCAAATGGTTTACTATCCGCACGGCAATAGTCTACTATCCGCACGGCAATAGTTTTCTATCCGGTGCCCTGGCTGTCGGTGAACCTCTGTGCAAGGAGGAAGAATGAAGGGGGACTTTCGAATATCGTACCATTAACAATTTAATATAGATTAGTTAAGGTAATTGAATAGGTAGATAGGATTATTTTTATTAAGCAATTTGAGATGCAGGCACCGCTAAGCTTTCTGATGAGAATCTACTCTTTCTCTATTTTTCTCCATCAACACGGGCTGTGTTTCAACAACAATCTCGAGAAGGACTGGCACCAGTTTTGGAGGACAACGTAGGAACCGGACCGCATTCAACATTCTGCCTTTGTCGAATGGACGACGGTAAGTTTTTTTACATTTTACTTTATTATTTTAAAACTTTATTTATTTGACATTATTTTCATTTTATAATTTAATTTTTTTTGCTTCCCAGATTCTAACATTCATTTACTACTACGCAAATAAAAAAATTTTGTTTACAGAATGATGAGAGGTGGGCAGTGGTGGGAGTCAGCACGTTTCAGATGGTGGTTTCATGATGATCGTTCCGATGACAAATCAAGATAATGTTAAAGGTAAATTTGTTTTTGTCTCATTGTACCTTTGAAAGTACTCGAATTTGAACAAAGATTGAGTGTTATCTCAAAAAGATAAGTTGCCTATTTTTTCCAATTGCTTGTTTTTTATTTTAGTGAATTAATTTATTTTTCAATTTATTTTTCAGTATCCGGTCAAATTCATTCCATCGATGCGTGTCGGATGGTCGGTGCAATGGAGGTTCGTCGGTAGTGAGTGAAGTTTCTGGAGAGTGCGCGCCCGCACATTTACATACACACACATCAATACAACACATACATACACAACATCCATTCATTCGGTGTCGTTGTTGCTATGTTTCTCTTCAACTTTATATTTTCTTTACCGTGAACCGGGCTTTAATTTAATTCATAGGTAAGTTAGGGACTGAGATGAGTTAAACAATTGTAGGTAGGCTAGGGCTTAACATTAGTTAAAAAGCTTCAAGTAACATAAAAACGCTAAAATATGTAAAATAAAATACTTGAAACATCTAAAACGAGAAATACAAATTTGTAGGTAAGTGAGTTGAGTCAATGTTTATAAGTAAGCTAGGGACCTGAGAGTAATTTTATTATAGGTAGGTGACTGACTATTATTCTTGCGACTTCTTACTAGTTTTGTGTGATGTGTTTGTTTTCGCTTCACAACACCACACCAACAAAACAAACAACATTTCATTCTCGTCGTCGCCTTGAATTGTACCTTTTTGAACAATCTTTTTAATAATGTCTATTTATTTATTCATTAAATGTTGACTGGTTTTTAGTTTTTTTTTAAATTGGTTATATAATTTTTGGATATTTCTTGATTTACTTTGTATATATGCATGTATAAATTATTTCTGTTTAGTATGTTGATTTAGTCATTATGATATGTTGTGAACTGTTCTTACTAAATGTTCATGTTACGTGGTTTATTATCCTTCGAGAACTTCTAAGGAGTGTGTATGATAATAATAATAAAAATGGATAATAATTATTTTTATCGGTCGATATTTTGTTATATTTGTTTATTTAAAATACGAATTTAAAAAAAAATTGACATTTTAAAATTTTAATTAACCGTCACTTTTCATTTTTGAATGAATTCAAATAAAAGCAACTACTGTGTTTTTCTTTCTTTACCAAAATCTCGAAATTGTTTGTAGATCTGTACGGTTAACTGTTTGTTCGAGTTTGAACAGGCCTTGCAAATTTTTTTTATTTATTTTTGTTTTTATTTTTGTTTATTTGGTTCATTCAATTTAGTTGATTGATTGATCGGTTGATTGATCGGTTGGTTGATTGATTGATTGACTGACTGGCTGGCTGGCTGGCTGACTGACTGACCGACCGACCGACTGATTGTTTGATTGTTTGATTTATTTATCTCATAGTATTGTATACATGAGAAAAAATCTGATTAAGCCAACCTACGGCTTCAGTAAGCCACTGTTTTTCACCTGACAAAAGCAATTTCTATATTTATACTGAAAAAAATAATTGTGATATGAATATATTGATTTATTTACAGCATTATATGTACAAAAAAAGTGCTATCGTAAGAGTTCTATGAAACCCTGTAAGCCACTGCTGTAAGCCAACGTATGATTTCAGCAGCCAGTTTCTTATGAGCACCAGCAGAATGTAAAATATTCATTGAATATAATGAAGATAGTTGTTCAAATAACAATTTTGATTTATTTAGGCCGTTTATTTCATAAGCAAACCAATTTTTAACATGATCGAATAGTATAAAAAAAGGGTGACTATAGTTCAATCCTACTAAGCCAACCTTCGGCTTCAGTAAGCCACCGGATTTCACCGGACCAAAAGCAATTTTTATATTCAAATTAACAAAAATAATTTAATACAAAATTCTATTAATCATTATTAAAATTAAATAGAATTACTACAATGTTTTAAGCATATTAAATCAAGTAAATATTTCATTTAGCTTGCTCGTTAAAATCCATGCAATTTCGTAAGCCAACAATCCAAGCACGACAAATAGCCCGACCGATAGATCGATTAGTCCTATTATTCTAGTTATGTGGTTTGGAGCAAGGGGAGACATTACTGAAAATAATTAAAAGTTGAAAAAATTGAGGTTCTTTGCATATCCCTGCTTCAACCCATAAGAAGGTGTATGCTGGTAAATAGGCCTCCCCTTGAGATGTCACAACAAAATAATCAGTTTCTAATGATGATCCAATGGCGTAAAAATAGCCGCATTTTGTGCTGAAACGCCGTTAAACTTAAAAAAAGTTAGTTACTATCTTTAAGTACGTAAACACTTGTGGTTAACCTGGTTAGTATATATGATATAAATTTTTACAAAAAGATAAAAATAAGTTTAAAAGAAGAGGGAGACAGAGACATGTATATGGATGGATAAATAGATATAGATTCAGAGTCACTGGATTGATAAATGACATCACAGAAGAATGGAGTGGTGTCAAGTGAAGATCAGAACCGCAAGCAAAACATCACAAGGGAGTAAAAATGTGGCAAATGATGCTCTACACGTTGCCAAGCCAACTTTACGGATACCAAACGGCACCAGACTAACCGGAAGCTGGTGATTCAATTTTAGATGTTTTTAATTTTTTTTAAATTGATTAGATAATTATTTGGCAATTTTCACTCATTTATTTTTTATGCAAATTGTTATCAATAAATATTATTTGTTATTCGTGATCTTTCTATATTTTTTCAAGCTCTAACATTTACAAATTTCAAAGTATATTACATATTTTGAATATGTAAATACATATGTTATTTTCAATAAAATTTGCAAAATCTGTCAAAATTTGCAAAATTTTATTAATAAAGATATGAACTAAATATTTTTATAAAACGGGAACAATTCAAGATCACTACAATTTTTTGTGATATCTTTATAAAGAGTATTTAAATTTTTATCAAGTTTGTGACAATGCTGCCTCGTCGAACATGACTCCTTAAATGATAGATCTCTAAAAAAATAACCAGTTAAATTGTGAGGAATGTAAGTAGCCTCGCCTAAAAACTCCTCTCTCACCAAAGGAAATATAACATTAGCTTTGTATGTATGGTGAAATGTTGAACCCCTCATATCAACCACTCTTCCTCCATCTTTTAAATACATAAGAACATCTATGTAAGGAAAAGTGTGGCTTGGAACTTTTGATGTGAAATTTATAAAATTTGAAATTCTGTAAACTCCGAATGAGATGTAGTTCATCCGAGGTTCAGTTAAATTGAAAAGTTTTTTGGTAGAATTTTTCAAGAGTTTAACTTCGTCTTGAAAGGCCTTTAAACATATTTGAAGATTGTCCTCTGAGATGACGACATCAATGTCATCGTCCCATGGAATGAGTCGTTTGTTGTGGCGAACTTGTCCAATCAGCGATCCTCCATTTATATAAAATTCGGTGTTCGATTTTTTCGTTACATGCACGAAAAACCTGTACAGTTCAATTAACGTCAGCAATTCATCTTTGTACATTCTAGGCAAAAAGTACATAACATTTCTAGAACATATACCCATATCGATGTCTCTCATGTAGTTTGTATCCTTATTCACTGGAAACTTCAATGTGAGCATTTGGAAATTTAATCTCTTCAATTCGGTGTATTCGACAATGTTTTGTTTCAACAGGTGTTCAATACAGAGCGAATTATTGTAAACGACTGGGTAATAATTATCGTGAAATATATAAAACCGAAAAATATATCTAGAGCTGAAAAGGAAAATATTTATTGAAATAGATATCCAGCAGGCTATAACGAGGTAAAACAATTTTATTGTCAACATTTCATTAACTTTGGACGTTATAATTCAAAACGTTTAAAAAAACAAACAAAGAACAATAATTTCAAAATTTAAACAATTTTATTATTTTACTCTTATTATATTTTTATTTTCAAATTGGAAGTTTTATTATTTCTTAATAAAAACAGCTTTAAAAAACTTTTGCATCTACATTTTAACTATTTATAACTTACAATTTTATTTCGATAATTCAAAAATCCCCTCAAATCATTTTCCGTTCATCAAATTATTCTTTCATCCATCGATTCACCTGATTAATAATTAATAATAGATTTACGTTTATGCGACTCTTAGTTGTGTAGAATCATCATTATACATCGGCATCATCTATAATTCATGGCAAAGAAATAAATAATCCGTCCTTGTGTATAACTCTATGATGATTTTGAAATATTATCCAGCAAAAAAATAAAATAACGATTGTTCTGCTGGTCGATTGCTTGAGTTGTCAGAATTCAAAGTTTTGTATGAGTTAGAAGGATTTCGTTGCATATCTTTTGTAACTGAGGGTCGCACACACATGCGTATTCAAGCACATTTAAAATCACAGGCCCTGTTGATTTCGAAGTATGGCGATGGTGGTCCTGGAGTAACAGTGCCTTACAAATGCCTTACAAAATGAAGTAGGTTTTAAAACCGTTGGCGTGTTTTTTCACAGATATATTCGGAAAAACTGCAAATAAATATGTATATTGACGGTATAAACAAACTTGTAACAGTTGCTAAACCATCGTGATTTGGGTATTTTTATCTTCATTGTGAAGGCTCCTTTTTCGGGAAGCCCTGGACGAAAATGGTTTTTGACAAATGTCTGTGTTGTTTGTATTTACATGTGATATTCCTTTTTTACAGGTTGTGTTTGTGTGTGTGTGCGTGTGTGTGCATGTTTCTTTTGTATATGTGCTTTACGTGTGTTTTGTTTGTACGTTGTATGTATCTATCCATGTTTCGATGTATATTGTATATCTTTATTGTGTACGTAATGTTGATATTGTATATTTAGTATGTATGTATGCACGCATACTTTAAATTAGTGTTATGTGTGTGTGTGTGTGTGTGTGTGTTCGCATGCACGTTGTATATCGTACAGACGTGTGATCTTGTGAGTGTATTTTGGAAGAACATCCTACCATGGCAACCCATTGTATCGATGCCAATATAGTTGAAGGGTGTTAATAATTAATACACTCAAGAATGCCTGAAAGCCTTATTTTTTGTATAGAAACATTTATTAACTTCATCAAAAGATAGTAAAACATGAATTGTATAATAACCAAATCTTTCTTATATAGCAATAGTAACAGTGCATGGATGGGCATCTTGTATTGTAACATAGAGTGTTATATTTGATATAGCAAGAGACCATTTGAAAGTAACGTCACATTTGCTGATGCCTTTTTGCGGTTGGTTCATTTTTTGCAAGTTGACGGTTGGATAAGTTGAAGTTAGGGTAGTTTGGTTAGTTAGCATGGAGGAGTGCAATAACATAAAAGTTGCTGTTAGAGTCCGACCCTTTGTTAGTAATCTTTTTTCAGTTTTTAACAATTTGCAGCATATTTTTTAGCGGTTCAAAAATTTGTTAAAATATTTGTGACTAGATTTAAGCTTTACGTTACCAGGCAGTTGTGAAGTTGCATTCAAGATATCACACACAACATCACAAATAGAATTTTTGCCTAAAAAATTTTATTTCCATACACAAATTCTCATTAAAAGAGAGCCAACGTCAATATCCAATGCACTATTAAACATTCGCTCAAATTACCAGCACTGAATACAATTACAACAATTGTTTCAGCGTAAACAAAAAATAAGATAAAATAAAAGCAACACATTCAAGATTAGAAACATCAGAGATGAAAATGTTTAAAAATGTCACCGTTACATATAATCCTTCCTTTTCAGACAAAAAGTATTTCATCAATATTCATCATGTTTTAATTGTTATATAACTGATAATTGGAAGTGACTTTGTTAGCAAATGAAGAAACTCATACAGCGGCGAATCTACAAAGAGGAGCAGATTTTTTTTACAAGTCCTTAAAAAACATTGCTTTAACAGAAAAACAGAAAAAAATCTATCAAAAATTTACGTGACAAGCAAATGAAGCCGTCAGCCTAGATTTGGCCAGACCACAACAAATGTTGGCCCTCTTGTTGTGAGCAGTTTTTATTTTAAATAAAAGCCAAAAAAGGATCATTTTATATGTAAAATCAGCCAAAAATTAAACGTGATAACCAATGTTGCCCCTTTTAACATTTTTAAAATTTTTTCCCCCCTCCCAATCAAAGTTGTCTAGATCCGCCACTGCACCACACCACACTCTCTACAAATACACCCACCCAAACAGAACAACAGAGAATGGAAGAGGAAAGCCACATTGATAGTGTCCATGGGCCGACGGACGACATTCATCCAACATCCACAAAGAAGCGACGACGACTCCGTCAAATCATTCCAGTTCGATTTCTCCTACTGGTCACACGATGGATTCGTGGCCGACCAAGATGGCTACCTGGAGAAGGCGAATGATAATTCGGCTTATGCAAGTCAAGTAAGTACTTCACATTTTAGCTATTGTCGCCTTTTTATTTTAAAGATAAATACTCCACGGCCCGTCTGGTAATGAATACATTTCAAAATTTTTTCAAATGCGTTTTTTTTAGTTTGTATTATTTCTGACAAAAAAAAACAATTAGCAGTAGTAGTAGTAGTAGTAGTAGTAGTAGTAGTAGTAGTAGTAGTAGTAGTAGTAGTAGTTAGTAGTAGTAGTAGTAGAAGTAGTAGTTGTTGTTGTTTTTGTTGTTGTTGTTGTAATAGTAGTATTAGTAGTATTAGTAGTAGTAGTAGCAGTATTAGTGGTAGTAGTAGAAGTAATAGTAGTAGTAGAAGTAATAGTAATAGTAGTAGTAGCAGCAGTAGTAGTAGTAGTGTTGTTACGATAACAGAATACAACAACAACGGTAGCAACAAAAATATTAACCAAGCAATACATCGCTACACAGTCCCTCATATTTAATGATCTCGGCTCTGACATCCTGCAAAATGCCTGGCTGGGATACAACAGCTCCCTCTTTGCATACGGACAAACTGGGAGTGGGAAATCTTACTCCGTGATGGGTCATGGAGTTAACAAGGGTTTGTGGATTTTTCGCTAACTTTTTTTTTATTTCACATTTTATTTATACTTTTCGTAATTATAATAGTTAAAATTAAAGAGAAAACTTCATAAAAAATTTTGTATAATTTAAAAAAATATATAAAACGACATGAATTATCAATAAATAAATAATAACCGTAAAATATGATAAAACAAGCTATCGTTTCGGCTATCTATAAAATGTTTTTGTCATGATATTTTGAAAATTTTCTTTAAAAACGCCCCAAAAATTGACTAATTTAGAATAAACAATCTACAACAAAGTATTCAGATAATGCATAAAGATTAAAGGTGAAAACCGCGCATCATACTCGGTGCATACTCGGGGATCTCTTTGTATTCGAACCCAGTCACTGCAGCGGTAAGACCAGACGCTTGTTAATCATTTATTTTTCCCAAAAAATTATTCCATACTTTCAAGCCATGTTAGTAGAAAGTGGGGAATTCAGTGGTGAAGAATTGAACGGAGAATTTGTGACATAAAATACCTTTTATTACTACATATCTAATTTTGAATATCGATATATATTTATTTTTTTATCTAATTTAATTATATAATTTATTTATATAATTTATTTATATAATTATTTAATAATAATTTGTCCGGTGTCAGGTTTAATTCCGAATTGTTGCGAGGAGTTATTCAAACAAATTCAAAACAGAAACAATTTGAAGAACGCTGCTGGGAGTGAATGTGATGATGCCAATACAGACGTCATCATTGAGGTTTACAAAGATGCACGTGTATTAATTACATACCGCTGTGCCATTTAATCTTGCCTTGAAAGTTGATGCAATCAATGACAATACAATCATGTATTCATTCAGTTGTTGATGTTTTGTTCACTTCTAGTCGAATGTTCAATCAATGAAATGTGTGTGGAGATATTTCTACTGCTTTAACGCTGCTGTAAGGTATCGGTCGACTGACAAACTATTCAAAACTTCAAACGCAAAAGATTCCTTTCAGAAACATAAATAGGTCTACGTGATTTTTGGCAACATAAAATGTTATGCCATTTACCGAAACAAGATTTTCCAGTTTTAGTACATGGAAATAAAAATGTCTCTTTGAAAATTTTTTCGGAGGTAATTAATTTTTGTTCTCCAACTTTGTATTTAAAAAAGCAGCAAAGTTGGATAGTTTTGTGACGGGTATCACTGAAATCAAACCCGGTTGCTACGAGTAGGACCAGGCAACTTTCAAGTGCACTTCCATTTCGGAAATGTCACTATATGGATACTGACCAATGACTTTTACCGCCAGTCTATATAGCTGCACACTCATTTTTTGATTCATATTTCAATCGTCAAATCATGATTTGACTTGCCTGTTGGAACCGCACGTACTGAAATCCCCAAAATTTTTGCGTCGTTGTGGTGAATGCTGGGTAGTGGTTTAAAAAATTCTCTTGGGACTGCTGATTGTTTTAATTCTTTTCAAAACCAGTACAAGTCATACCTACGGCTTAACGCATGTCAACACTATTCTTAAGGCAACTCTAACAAACGAATGAATGAATAAATGAATGGATGGATGAATGAATGAATGAATGAGTGAATGAGTGAGTGAATGAGTGAGTGAGTTAGTGAGTGAATGAATGAATGAATGAATGAATGAATGAATGAAGGAATGAATGAATGAATGAATGAATGAATGAATGAATGAATGAATGAATGAATGAATGAATGAATGAATGAATGAATGAATGAATGAATGAATGAATGAATGACCAACAGGTGAAGATGAGCATGTTGGAGATCTACAACGAACGCGTGTATGACTTGCTCTCCACTGACCAGTCCACTGATAGGTACCTCAAAGTCAGAGAGGACAGGAACAAAGGATTTTTTGGTCAGTAAAGTTGTCATGGCGATGATAATGATGGTGATGGTTTTGGTCATAATGATGATGATGGTGCTTTTGATGATGATGGTGAGGATGATGAAAATGATGATGATGGTAATGATGGTGATGATGATGACGATGATGAGGGTGAGGATGATGATGATGATGATGATGATGATGATGATGATGATGATGATGATGATGATGATGATGATGAGGGTGATGATGATGATGGTGAGGATGATGAAAATAATGATGATGATGATGATGATGATGACGATGGTGCTGATGACGATTGACAGTGGAGAACTTGACAGTAGTGGTGGTGACGTGTTACGCGGAGATGGAGAGATGGATCGAGGAAGGAAACAAGATGAGGACCATTGCCGCTACAAAAATGAATGACGCCAGCAGGTTGTGATGATGATGACAATGATGACGATGATGATAATGATGATGGTGGTGGTGATGATGATGATTTATGGGGGTGGTGGTGGTGATGATTAAGATGGTGGCGGTGGTGGTGACTTAGTAACAATTTCAATCATGACGTTGACATCACGGAAAAACGATGAAATCAAGCCACGAATCGACATGAAGAAATGAAGATAGAACAATTTCCGATTTCGAACGTGACACCAAAACAAAAAAAAACCGTCTTAAAAAATTTTCTCAAACAAACTTCCTCGTGAACTTTTCAAACAAACAAACAAACTAACAAACTAACTAACTAACTAACAAACAAAAAGACACTCTTAGCTACCAAAAACACAACAAACACTCCATGACACACTCCTCAACAGTCGTGCACACACCATCACAACGATCCAGCTGACCCAAAACTTCTTGAGGACGAAGAAAACTCTGCGCTCAGATATCAGTCTAGTGGATCTAGCCGGCAGGTTAGATTTCAAATTTAGTAAAATTCGCGTTCATTATTCACTATTTTTTTTATCATTTTAAACTCCATCAGCCACTACAAACCTCTTTATATCACACTTCACTACTCGCCAATGTTTTGAAAGCAAGTACAGTTTGAAAAATAAACCGACGCTAAAAGAAACGTAATTGTTATAAATCTTTAAAGTGAGGACAAACATTCATAGCTAATTCACATATTTATATTTATTCGACTCAACGTTACTAAATTATTGAAAATTTAGATTCAAACTATCATTATCAAACTATCTCTATGTTTATTCATTCATTCATTCTCTTCCATCCATCTTTACTTTCATTCATCGGTACATTTATTTATCCAATCACTCATCCATCAATTTATCCATCCGTCCGTCCATCCATTCGTCCATCCATCAATTCATCCATTTTTCCAACCATCCGCCACTCTTGCAAGTGAACGACAGAAGCAGACGGAAACAACAGGCGATCGATTCAAAGAGTCTAAAAATATCAACCAATCACTGGCCACCCTAGGAAACGTCATTCACGGTTACTACTTATAATATTATAATGCTAATCTAAAACTATTTTCATAGTGGGGTAGTGGTAAGTTACCGGTCTTATGTGTTGCAGTTGTCGTGTTCGAATGCACAGAAATTCTAATCCACTGCACAGAGCATCGTCATCACGAACTCCATCAGCACCATCACCTATAATTATAATTAAACTCTTGCGCCACAAAGGATGTACTACCAACACCACACCACACCACATGACGTACATACGCATTACGTAAGCACCGCATCACACGCGCAGGATGTATTTGAACCATGCCATCGAGTAACAACGGCGCGAGTCATGGCGCTTTTACCAACTGAGCTAACTCGGTGACCAAATATTATTTATTGTCGACAATATCGGATAAATAAGTGAATAATGAAGTTATTTGATTTTTTTAACGCTTTTTATTGAAGATCTCGTTGAACTGACGACGAAGAAGAAAAAAATCGCCGGTTAGATTTTTCATTTTCTACTTTAAAATTTGAAGTCAGTTAATGATATTGAATACATTTTTCATTAAATAAATTTTCCCTTCCTGTAACATTCTGTAACGTGACTAACTTGAATATATTGTACGTCTAAATGAAACTGAAAATAATCATCACTCACTATATTTTTAGAAGGCGACGTCATACATACACAGTTACACAAACATAAATCACAGAGTTTCACAGAAAAGGCAGGCATCAGCTTAACTAAACAAACATTTTATTTTCTTAACTAAGCCTCAATAAACGCTTGTGGCACTAACTAGCAGAATAACAGTTAGACTGTTGAATCTCAAAACTTGTAACACACACACACACACACAACACACACACACACAACACACACACACACAACACACACACACACAACACACACACACACAACACACACACACACAACACACATCTCTCCACAACAAACACAAAAATGATTAATTACCATGGAGACGCAGTCTTAGGAAAAATATTCAACTAAATATCTAAAAAAATTCCGACTCTCTCCCATACTGACTATTACATGTTGATTGAGCCTGCGTTCGAACCAGGTCAACGCGTAATGACGTAATGCATGACTATTTCATTTGAAGTTCGGTACAGAGATTCCGTGCTAACACAGCTGCTGAAGAACACGCTTGGAGGAAACAGCAGAACTGTTATGGTTGTATGAAAAGTTTTTTGTTTATTGTTTTTGTATCAATTACTCGATGACTATTCATTTAGTTATTTGTTTCAAGCACAACCATTCATTCATTTATTCATTCATTCACATATTCAATGAATCAATCATTTAATTATTTATCAAATGACCAACTAAAAAAACTACAAACCAACCACCAAACCAATCAACCAACCAACTGACCATCCAACCAACCAACCAACCAATCAACCAATTCACTGATCATTCAACCAACCAACCAACCAATCAACCAACCAATCAACCAACTAACCATCCAACCAACCAATCAACCAGCCAACTGATCATTCAATCAACCAACCAACCAATCAACCAGTCAACCAACCAATCAACCGACTAACCATCCAACCAACCATCAATCAACCAACCAACAAATCAACCAACCAATCAACCAACTAACCATCCAACCATCTGACCAACAACTGATCAGCTAGCTACCATCAGTCCAGATGCCGAAAACTACGAACAGACATTATCAACCCTCAGATATGGTTCACAGTTTCATTAATTTCTTTATAATCAATTTTAATTAAGATTAATTAGACATTCGGGTACACACTTGTATAAATACTGACTTGGTAGTTAGGCTTCTCACATAGGTTCAATAAATAGCTGATTAATATTAAAATGTTATTATTATTGAATTGATAAAAATTAATACCAACAAAAACAGAAACAAAAAAAACTTGTCGAATTTTAACTAATTAACCAATGACATTAAATCAGCGGATAGAGTGAAAGAAATAAAAACGAAAGCAACGATAAACCAGATGTCTACAAGGGCGATGATTGAGAACTTGATAGCTGAGAAGGAGATGCTGCTGAAAGATTTTGAATCCTACAAGAACATGAAAGGGCCGCACTACAATGCTGATGGTACGTCGTGTGGTTGTGTGGTGTGGTTGTGGTGTGGTTGCCGTGTGGTGTGGTTGTGGTGCGGTTGGCGTGAGGTTGTCGTATTGTGTAGTTGGCGTGTGTTGTCGTGTGGTTGTCGCGTCGAGCGGTGTCGCTAACTGGCCAACATTTATTGTTAGGCAATTTCAGACTGAAAATCGCCCTATAAGTTTTACTTGGGAGCAATGACGTCAGCAGTATTATTATTATTACTATTATTATTATTATCATTATTGTTGTTTTTATTATTATTATTATTAGTCTGATCAGATCTGACGTTCATTTAATTTTTCAAAAAATTCATTCAAACCGGATATTTTCAGAATTGAAAGCCATGAAGAACAAGCAATTGCAGGAGGTTACATCAAATTCATTTCAATAACAGTAATAACAATAATAATAATAATAACAACAATAATAATAATTATCATATTGAAAACTCTTCCATCACAGCCAAAACAAATTTTTAAATCAATAAATGAAATGGAATAAAAATTAAAATTGAATTCATTGTACAGTACAATAAAACCACAATGGCCATTTTTCTAGGATAAGTGCCCGAGGTAGTCTATCTAAAACTGGCTATACAGTGTTTCTATCGCAAAAAATGACAAACGACGATTTAATAACTGAGTTTATTAGTTTGTCCGTTAATGAAATAGGTCAATCAGTTTTTTAGTAGTAATAATAATATTAATGATAATAATAATAATAATAATAGAAATACTTTTATTGGAGCATCAGATAAAATGAAATGAAAGACATTTGAAGAAAATATGAATGAGCTAAGATACAAAATAATTAAAATTTAAATATAAAATATACGACTTTTAAATAATAATAACAATAATAACAATAATAATAATAACAATAAACAAGCAGATCGACAAGTACAAACAGCAGATGAGAAACATGCAGGCAGCTTATGAGGAGCAGCTGAAGGAGGCTGAGATGCAACTTAAGGTGGTGATGATGATGACGATGATGATGATGAAGGTGGTGGTGGTGATGATGATGATGATGATGACGATGATGATGATGAAGGTGGTGGTGATGATGATGATGACGATGATGATGATGATGATGATGAAGACTATTCAGATTCTTTAACAATCATTCAGTTTCTTATTAATAAATCTATTTAAGGGAGTCAGGACAAGTTTATTTTTAACCTCTTGATTGCCTGAATGTCAAATAAAATTTGAAATAGAAAAATGATGATGGTGATAAGAATTCTGTTGTCTACAGAAACTTTCACCCTGGCTACTCTATTGAATAATTTTGATACATGAAATATGTAATAATGATGACGATGACAACGCTGGTTCTTAACATTAGTGACTACCAATTCGATTAAAATGTTTCGTTAAACTCTAATAAACAAAAGCACCATCTCAAGAAACCTAAAAAATGGTCATCCAAATATTGCGGAGTAGATATCAATACAAACCTGTCGTTGGTCTCTTAAATGCCGAAAGAAGTTTACAACTTTTGGACTGTTTGTTGATTTCACACCACAAACGATTACTTACCAGATTTATCTGCGTAAATACATTTCAAATTTTGTCAATTGCGACATAAAAAAAGGGCTGCATAATCCGGCGAAAAAATAATGAATGAGCCAAAATTAGGTTTTTCCAATTTTTATAAAAGTCTCATTAGATAAATAATTTTCGATACCATAATTGTTGCCCCTTCTTAAGAAATTACAAAATTTTAGAATACTTTTTGTTTAAGTTGAGTCATTCCTTATCTTTTTATCACACAGGGGATGAAAGAGGAGGATGAGTTGATGGTGCAGAGGAGGAAACATCACTGCTACATCAGCAACCTCAACCAGGATCCAGCCCTCTGCGGAAAAATTTTCTTCTTCTTCGAAAAAGGTCATGCAACTGAGTTTTAGATTTTGTGTTTGTATGATTGGAATTGAGGTGAGTTTGCCAGAAATTGTTTTCACTTTCTCGCAATTGTAAAAAAAAACCCAAAACACTGCTTCTTATTTTTTTTGATGATTTAATTGAGAGCAAATCTTTTAATAAAATCGTCGGTTGGATTAGACTTAAAAAACATTAAAAAAATAATAAAATCTAAGCTCATTTTACGCATATTTTGAAACAGTTCCACCCGCTATAAATCCAGATTTGATTTCACCCGACCATCTTCACACAATCAACCTACTAATACTACTAATAATAGTAAGAACAACTCTCGCAGACGTGAACAGCGTCGGGAACGGAAGGAAGGAAAAGGTGGATGTGGTGTTGTATGGACCTGGCATCGTCAACATGCACGCTCTGGTCCTGACGTCATCTGCATACCAGCGTGACCATAAAAGGAAGAGCAACAGTAACAAGGATGCAGAAAGTGATTCCGGCAAAGATTTGTATGTAGTCCCGAAGTTGGGAGTGGTACTTCACAACGGAAGGGAGGTGCTGGAAGGAACCAAGTTGAAACACGGGGATCGGTTGTTATTTTTGTTGATTTTAATTGTTTTGAAAAGTTTTTGAAGGTCATTTGGAAATATTTCAAGCGAGCAACAACAATATTAAACTTGCTAAAATTTATAAGCTAAATAAATTTAACGCTGACAAATATCTCTAAAAAGGATTTTCATTTTCTGTATCAAAAATTGTTCCTATTTATTATCCTGGCAAACAAAAATTGGCAATAGACCCTGTTTCAATGCTTAGGTTGAGGTTTGGTTCCAGCAACTTTTTCTTGTATTGTGATTACCGAAATTTGAATGCCGATGAAGAGAGGATGTTCAAAACTTCAGACAAAAGTTTGATGAGCTACGAAGAGGCGCAGGAAGAAATCTTCAAATATTCCTCCTGGCTGAATTCTTGTGAAGGTCATCCGTGGTCTGGTGTTGTTGGCACTGTTCATTTGTTCCTTTCATAAAAAGTCCTTAAATCGATATTTGTTCTAGTTGGAGCTTTTTTTCCACATAACTTTTTTGTGAAAAAAAATTTTAATAGTTAAAAATTTTTACAGATTGTGTTTTCTCTTAAAACAAAAGCTCAATTACCTTTTTTAACAACTACCTACAACATTCTACAGAAGAACCTCTACTGAAGGCTGAACTTATCAGCACACTTGCCCTTGTCCAATCAGCGAACGCCATGGCACGTGACATGGACAAAAATGTTGAACTCTCCATCATACTCATCTCACCGGAAGCAAGAGGTTTGGAGAGAGGAAGAACTGAAGTAAGAGAGGATGATGCCGATGTTTGTTACTTTAGATTTAATTAAGATGATGTTCATGCAGATGTATGCGTTGAAACCTGCCATTGAATGTATTCCACAAACATTTATCAATTGGTTAACAAACATCAATAAAATTATTAGCTTCTGACATGTACGATCAGGCCATATCTTTCACTTGCCTAAGCATAAACACACAATACATTTCAAACCAGGTGAGCATAAAATTGACCGACCAACCATCTGGCAGGGAGTACTTGTGGTCCAAAGACAAGTTCATCAACAGGTACAAAATTATTTTATACACGTTGTAGAAATCTATCATAAATCTTATTTCCTAACCTAGGTTAGGAAAAATATAATTTAGTTGAAAACAATTTTCATAATTTATTTTTAGCAGATCTATACGTTTTAAAAAATTTGATTAAAGAGACAAGATCTCAGGTTAAATCACTTCAAGTTAGAAAATTGCAGCCAAGTGAATCAATATTAAAATATATCAAGTATAAGAAGACTAAAGCTCCCATAAAATATTTACTCTTAATATTTTCAAACTTATCTTGAAAACCACCAGATGTTTTCATTAACTTTGAAAAATTGAATTACATAGTAGTAAGTAGTTTATCTAAGTATGTCACTGTGTGGGTACGGTTTTCAACTTACCAGGTACGTATACATGGAGGAGATGTATCAGAGGTACACATCACCCAACAGCTCATCGGAAGATGTACAACAAGTTCTTGTTAGCTATATGTCCAGTTCATGTTTATTTATGTTATGTTATGTTATATATTTTATAGGCATTCATCCTTTTGTTCGTAAATTGGATAATTCATTCATTTATTCATTTTTTTATTCATTATTTCATCTTTAAAATTAATTTTTTTTCATTTTATTTTTATTTTTGAAACTCTTAGAAAGAGGCCGATCCATATTGGGAGCCGGTTGATTTGGAGGTTCCAATTGGTGTGGCTACGATACCGCTTTCATTTCTCTCACATCTAATTGGCTGTGACAGTGACCCATTAAATGTTCTCGATTATTCAGCTAATCACGTTGCTTACTTGAAAGTTCAGCTTGTTCCATGCGATCCGAAATCTAAAAGTGAAATAGAAGATGACTCACTACTTGTGAAAAATTCAGAAGACCTTGTGAGGTTCATTCTGGGTTTCATTTGCAAAAATTGCATTTTAAGTATTGATATTTCGTGTTATCTTAGATTTTACCAAAAGCTACTTAAATTTTGGTGACAATGATTTTCAATAGGTCGGCCAACCAGTTTGCTTTAAAATAAAAATCCTCTACTCGACCCAACTGCCAGAAAAGTATGAATGTGTTAGTAGCAGTTCATTTCGTTTAAATCTACTTTTCATTTTGTATTCATCCAGTATAAAATTATTTTTTCATAAAATCAATAGTCTGTTTATTTCTAAATGATGTTATTAGTATGCCTTTTTTTCATCGTTTTACAAAATTTTCCAAAATTACTAAGGTAGACAAAAAACGTCGTCGGTCTCTGAAAATGGTTGAGATGAAGTTGTTTTTGTACTGAGAACCTATCATTTCACTCCGAATGCAAAACTTATAATGACTATTTTTGAGTTAATGTCATAAATTTCAGATTCTCAGCCTCCAATCAGCTCCAAGCGTCGTTTCATTAAGCACTTTTTTAATCTTCCTACCATCCTCTAATAAAACCACATAACCGATTTCCACATAGTAGCAATGTTTATTTTTGAATATCATTACATTTTGTCACATCAGTCGTGGTGCAAGTACAAGTTCCACACTGACGCAGAGTACAAAATGACCAACAAACTGTCAGGAACCAACCCTAGGTACAACTTTGAAGATTGTCGACTCTACGATGAAGCATCCGCTAAGGTAGTTTCAATTGGCATTAGTCAATTCTCATTTTTGGTGACCTAATGATAAGACCGCTGGTTACTGTCTTGCAGTGATCTGGTTTAAATGCAAACTGATCTTCATCATCCCATCTTGCACTCAAGTCTTTAATACGCTGTTTTTTGTTGAACTCGTCCAGAGTTGTTAAATCTACTTAAGTTGTTATTGGTAGCAGTAGTGCTGATAAATTTATTAGGCAGTAAATCGCTGCTGCTATTTTACGTTTGCAATTTTTAGGGATTGTGCAAAATGATTGACAATTTTCCAAATTAAGAAACCAAAATTAAATGACGTTGTTCTGCTTCTATATCGGCTTATATGGGTTGCGTGATAGCTCAATGGTTAAAGGCGCCTGGTCCTGCTGTTGCATTGACTGGATTCGAATGTAAAAATGTGTGTTTGATGCGTGATTTTCACGCGTTTTCATATGCCTACTTTGTGTGTGTTTTTCGTTGATACCTCCGAAGCAGGCGCAAAACAGAGATTGACCATTAACCTTTATAACCTTTGTTGCTATAGTTTTGTTGTTTCTTCAGTGTGTTTTTCATGGTGTAACTGGGGAAATCCGTGGTTATAACTTTAGCACGTGGCTTCATTCAATTTCAGTTTCTCACGGTGTAACGGGGGAAATCCGTGGTTATATCTTTAGCACTTGGCTTCATTCAATTTTAACAACGGTGTTTCAATTTAATCACGTGATTTTATTTTAATCGTCTTAATCATAATATAATCACGCACGTGGTCCTAACTTTACCACGTGGTTTCATTGTGTGGTTGTAATGCGTGTTAACACTGATTAACAACTTTGGACAAATATTTGCTTTGATTATTGAAAATTCTTCTTTAAGTACAAAATAAAAAATTTCAGTAAAGAGAAACCTCTATCCTTGGTTGGTTTATTAACTCTGAGCTCCTTTACGATATATGATGTTCATGTACATTTGTACTGGATCTTCTTTACATGTTAACAACCAATGTTCACTTTGTGTTCATGTTCATTCCAGTTTACACACGGCCTGAATAATTAATATATTAATTCAACGTGTTTTAAATATTAAATATGTTATAAAACAAAAACGCAGTTGGTGCAGTACTTGCAAGAAGAGAGCCTGATAATTGAGTTGTGCGGACAGCAAAAGGACAACGTATCCAACATGAAACCATCCCAGGAGGCACAGGTTTAGTGAAACTTTGCTCATTCAAAATATCACAGCAGTTTTTAATTTTCTACAAAATTTTTATCGCTGAAAGTGTTAAATATTACAAATTATATTAGAAAGTATGATGCAGTTCTAAAACGTGAGGTAGCATTATTAAATATACATACATATATATATGTAAGACAATAAGAATTGCTTCAAATGTTTTCGGAACAACCAGATTTCGCAAATGCCTAACAAATATTAATTTACAACCATTCAAGGAGAAAGCAAGAAGTTCTGATCAGAAAATTGTGAGTGTTAAACCCGAAAGTTGTTCATTAACAGACATTCTAAAAATGTGTTCACGTATTTTGCTTTTTGTTATGATCTGGTTCTTCGTGCCACAAATATTTTGATTTTTGCTCCTTTCAGCATTTTTACGTGTCTTCTTAATTTACTTGATCAAATAAATATTATAGTATAAAGAATGAATACTTACATTGCTCTCATGAAAACTACAGGATGAAATACAAAAGTACCTGAAAACGCTGCCTAAGAACCACAAAACGGTCTGCGTCAACTTTTACTTCTATGTATTTAAAATTCTCATATAATGCTCCAATAAAAGTTACTCTTTTTTATTAAATTATTTTTCAATCTAATGTTATATTAGAAAGAAATGAAAATATTTTTAAACTTTCACACAGAGAAAAGAATTGGAAATCATCTTAAGCACTTGACTACCAATTGACTGCAAACTGAGAACCAATTACCCCGTGGAAGTACCACCTCACATTCTGATTCCATTGTGATATCAACCCATCAAAACATTTATGATGTACATTATGCTAATCATTTGTTATTAATTAACAACATATATGTGATAGCATTTTATTTCTTTTAGTCAACCATATGTATGAAAATTTTAGCTGAAAATGACAGCTAGATTTAGTTTGACTGGCTTGCTACAGCTGTTCATCAATTTTACTGCGGCATTTCTACACAACGAAAATAACGTTAAAAATTGTTGCCACGTCAAAAGAAGGAAACTTAAAATATTAAAATAATTTTGTAAATAACCTTTAGAAAATTTATAAATTGCTGAAAACTTTTGTCACTGTTTTAAATTTTTGTTCATGTTAATAGAGCTAATTTTTTTATTGAAAATGTGTTTTACTGTCTCGTCGCAATGTCCTGTTAAATGGCAAACCATCTGTTACTGTTTAGAAGTTAATTAAGCTAGAACGACGATGTAAACGTTTGAAGTACTCGAATTGCTGAGTCCGTGCTTAGCTGAGCAAATGAGCATCACCGAAATTACACGTTCGGCGATCTTCAACGTGCAATTAAATTGACCTTGCATTTGTAGAATAGACTCGCCGCAAAATAATGAGACACGATTCCTGTTGCTAAGTGGCAAGTGAACGGCAGCAGTGACGCAATAACCTGGCATCGAAACAAAAATTAATTTTTAAAAATTAATCTTTAGATAAAAATTTAAGGCAAAATATTTTTCTCACAATTTTTGTTATTTTACATAATGCAGGTCTGTCAAACGCCGAACTACATACAAGTTATTCTATACCTCTCATTAAACTTTCGTGTCACAAAGGCTGTATGTATCTGCACGCACGATGTATGATAATATGAGTTTTGGACAGACAGTATTCGAACCATGCTATAGCACAATAGCAGCTTAAGACGTGGCGTTTCTACCGACCGAGCTAACTCGTTGACCATTTTAGAATCGTAATAATTGACATTTTTATTAATATCTTAGTCATTGTGGCCACTGAAATTATTGTTATACTCATCATCGTCATCGTCGTCATTATTTTATAGTAATAAAGTAGTAGTTGTTGTAGTAGTAGTAGTAGTTGTTGTTATTGTTGTTGTTTGTTGTTGTTGTTGTTGTTGTTGTTGCTGTAGCAGCATTGATAATAATAAATGAATTGTTATTGTTCAACTATGTTATTATTTACTGGTCATCATCAACTTTAAAATCAATCATTATCGTATCACCATCATTTCATCATCATTATCGACAATAACATCTTCAGCTGAGTGATTGAAAATAGATATAAAAAAAATTGAATAAATAAAGTACTCTAAACAAATTAAAAAATCTTGTGTTAAATTGTATCTTTGGATGAGCCACGTTATTTTAGATATTAAGATCTTTTACTATCCTTTCTTTCTGAATGCCTATATAAATGGCTTTGCAACTGTTCACTTTCAAAAAACGCGGGTGTTGATTATAAGTTAATTCAGATCAATTTGTAGCGCATTTAAAAAATTGTGTTAAAGCATCAAATACAGGAGTGAACAGTTGGCGAGGAGATCGAAGTGAACAAAATGGAGAAAGTTAATGCCGTGAATGATTTGCGAACGATCGTATTGATTTCAAAAACAAATGGTCGTTACGAGGTTCCCAGGGCCTCATTACTGCGGACCAGCGATTATTACCAAGCGCTGGTCAATAGTGGAATGAGAGATGCACACCTCGATGAACTTACATTGGGATATCTTTCCGATGCCTGCTTGCAAGAAGTTAGAGAGTTCTTATCAAAATTTCAATGCAACAAGGAAGTAATTGAAGATAAGCCTGAAAAAATGAAACAATTGGAAAATGTAGAAGAAGGTTTGATAGGTGCGTCCTATTTGCAAATTAATGGCATGACGAGTTTATATCTCGAATATCTTTTGAAACATTTGAATGAATCTTTGTATACACGTTTTTGGGGTTTGGCAAAAGTTTATGCTATAGTTGAGATGACTGAAATAATTTTTGATTTTGCTCTGAAAAACTTCAAAAAAATTGCAAAATGTTCCGAAATTATGCCATTTGATGTTTTGCTCCATTTGGTTAAATCAGAGCTTGTCAATTCAGACAGTGAGTTTGATATTTTTAAATTTATCATTGATTGGATTTCTGCTGACTATTCAAGAAGACCATATGCAGAAAAATTATTAAGAGAAGTCAGGTTCAACATGATGTCAACTACAGAAATACAAAAAAGTGCTAAACTACTCAGAAAAAGGAAATTAAACTTTTTACAAACTAGAAGAATTGGAAATCGTTATCGAAGTGTCGGCACGTTATTTGCTCTTGTGAGAAATTATAAAGAGGTAAGTTATATTTTACATTGATTGTTTTTATAAATTTTTTAAATAATTTTCCACATTTTTTATATTTTGACTTGTCTTTAATCATTCTCGATCCGAGGGTATGCTGCATCATGAGCATGTTTTCTCCAGCTAACTCTATACTGCGTCTTTCTCGGCAACTTTTAAAATTCGTCCAATTCTTTGTCATCGATCCATTTCCTACTTTATTTAAAGTCGTTTTAAAGTGACCCAGTCATCGCCAACTGATTTCTGCTAATTCACACACCACACATCCATTTGTAATCTTTCCATTTCGGTTTCCATTATAAACAAAACACTATAATTTGTTTTGCAGTACAGAAGTTATAATGAGTGTTGCTCACTGTCCGTGTATGATTTTATTAGAACTTGCAACAATAGAAAAAGCGTAACCCCACCTGTCGTCGAGTTCAACCATTCTGACGGGTCAGGTCCACCTTCCTTTTACAGCGGTTGTACGTTGTGCGTTCTCAATAACCGACTGTATATGGGTGGCGGATATGTCAGAAGTGTAAAAACTTTCTCTTACGATTTGACATTTTCTAAATGGTCGAAGGTTAGAACTTTAAAGTTTCATTTAACTCCTGAATATCATATATTTTATTTGTAGTGTTTTACGATTACATTGCCCCTGAACGCAAGGCACTAAACATTTTTGCTTGGTTTTTGTTATTTAAGTTTTTTATTATTAAATTTAGAAAAAAAAATTTAATCAATTATATTCAGTTGTCTGACATGAACGTTGCGAGATGTAAGTTTTATTTTGGAAATATAGGCGAACACTTGTACGCCGTTGCTGGTTCTTACAGTTACAAAAAAGGGGCAGTTGAAAAGTACATTCCAGAGGAAAACAGATGGTGCATGTTGGCTCCTTTGCCAGTCGCTACTACTGATCTGGCAGGTTTGTTACATTTTGTTTGAATTTATCATATCATGTCATGTCAGAAACGTGCAATTATTACATTTTTAGGCTGTGTGCATAACGGGATGTTATATGTTAGTGGAGGAATCAATTATCGTGGTATCAAATCAGAGAAGCGAGTGTGGCAGTATGATCCTACATCTGACAGTTGGACGGAACAGCCTCCAATGCTGGAAAGACGTCATGGGCACGTTATGGTCAATGCTGGAGGCGTATTCTTTGTGGTTGGTGGTGGGCTTGGAGATAATTTGATGGTTAGCACCTTACCTATATTTGCGTTGTTATTGTTACTGAATTGTTTTGTAGATAATGATGTCTGTTAATGTCTGGTTTTGTTATGATTGACGATGCTTTGGTTTTAATTTTAAAATTTGATTTCACTAATATTTTATTTTATTTGACGGTAAACTGAACATTAACCTGTTTAAATAATTAAATTTTATACAAAAAAAATTAATATGCAGAACGGGGAGATGTTTGATTTTGAAACTCGTCAGTGGTCATATGTGATAAAGTTGAAGTTTCCTGTGATGCAATCTCCATCCATCCTTATCAACAACTGCCTTTATATTTTTGCAGAGCATTTTACCAGCTTCAGTAGTAATGAAATTTTTGTTCAAAAAATCGACTTGAGCAAGTATCTGAAAGACGAGGGGTCATCATCATCGTCATCATCAAATGCATCACGCTCGTTGCCTCCTCAAGCTATCACAGCTGATGATTATGCAACGAATAATAAACGAAAAAGGTTAGCATCTGATGACGATGATGATGATGATAATTTAATAAACATTAACCGTAAAAAATTAAAAACTGATAATGACACTGCTAATTTTGATAGTAGCATTGATGGTTCCGACGACGATCGTGACGATACTGATGATGAAGATGATGACGGTTTTGTAACCGTTAATGAAGACGATGATAACGATCATGTCTTTGATCATATCTTTGCTTCTAGGAGCGACAATAGTGGTGACGGTGACAGAGGAAAAGAATTTAGTATCAATCACACCATTAACTTTCCCAGTAAAGACAACAGTGTTGTTGTTGTCGATAAAAGTGTTGTTGTTGTCGATAAACCGGCTGATGTCATTGATAACGTCATTAGCGATGATTTCAGTGATAAAGAGGATACTGCTTACGATGATGTTGATGATTATGAATCTGATAAGGATTTAGCTAGCGCGTATGACAAATATTTTTTCAAGGTTGATTTCAATGTTGGTAACGATGACGATTGCCAGGTTTATAAGTGCAAGGCTTTTGGCGAATTTTCAAGCATCTGCTGGGTCGGCATTGTCAACGTGCCAGTGGATGTTTGCAAACATTGTCAATCGGGTGAGCGTTAGGTCTTCATATTTATATTTGTTTGCCGTATGTGTGTGTATTTTTTATATTTCTTACAAATTACTCAGCAGATATGTGAATACTTTAAAATGTAATTTCGAATGAAAATTAAAGATTTCTCATGATTTGTACGTAAATGAATAAGCAATTTGCAAGAACTATTTCAATTCCTATTCGTTCGTTTTCACAAGATTATTGAAATTCTGAGCGAACTCGTTTATATCAGATTTTTATTAATTTTACTTTTTCATCTCGTTATTTGAGGTTTTTAGAATATATAAACATTTTTTTCCGATTTTTCTACAATTTGTACATTTAAATAATTTTATTCGCAATGTGACCATGGATATGTGAATGTGACATATGTATCTTTATGTATTTAGTATCTGTGACGTATGTATCTTTTGGACGATAATAAAACGAACGGAGATATCGTAACGCACACTCGTGTTGAATTGAATTTATATTAAATAAAACATATAAAACATCACACGCAGCATGGCGTGTTTTTTTTATTATCTCAAAACGAATTTCCTCTTTTTGTTTCGAGGGTGCCTTGTCAACATCATCATTTTTTTCAGCAGTCTTTATATTTTCTATAAATGTATTTACAATAACATTCACAATGAGTAATAAAAGAATTTATTCAATTTATTTCCGTTTGCAGTGAAATGAAATAAGTTCATTATATTCAACCTATAATTTCTGTCATAATCAATTAGTTTATAAAGCGATATTTCCGTAATGTTCAACGGCGCTCTTCAATGAATTTTGCAAACAGATGGGTCTTGAGATCTGCTCTGAATTCCATGCAGGTCATTACAAAATTTGTTTCTCCCAGAAAAGTGATAGTAAAAGAATAACGACCACATAATAAAAATGTATTTCTTTTCTAACTCAGAAAATTATTACAAAGGGCTAGTTGGTAGAAATAAGTTTGTCAAAAAATTAATACTAGTTGTGTTAGATCATTAGGATTGGTGCCAGGCGTGCCATATTATCAGGATTTATACTAAGGAGTGCCACAATATCAGGATTTATACTAGGGAGTGCAAGGAGTGCCACATTATCAGGATTTACACTAGGGAGTGCCACATTATCAGGATTTACACTAGGGAGTGCCACATTATCAGGATTTACACTAGGGAGTGCCACATTATCAGGATTTACACTAGGGAGTGCCACATTATCAGGATTTACACTAGGGAGTGCCACATTATCAGGATTTACACTAGGGAGTGCCACATTATCAGGATTTACACTAGGGAGTGCCACATTATCAGGATTTACACTAGGGAGTGCCACATTATCAGGATTTATGTTAGGGAGTGTCAGGAGTGCCACATTATCAGGATTTATATTCGGGAGGCTAGATTACAAAGGGTAATTAGGTAGGTCTTGTATATGATCAACATGAATTGCTGGAGAGAAAGACAGGGAATGTCCGCAGACGGATGGGCCGGCAGCCGAATGTCATCAAAAGATCAAGAATGTGATAATAAATGTAAATTAAACGCTACATAATACGGAAAACATAAAAAACCAATTAAATGATGTAGACATAAAACGAGTTAAAGATAAAATATTAAAAAAACGACAATGAAATAACGGTAAATAAGTGCCGATGTCGTAATATTATAACACGATAACAATTCTAATTATATAATAATAATAAAAATAATAATAATAATGTGAACTCTTTTATTATCAGAAAACCTCAAGACTAATCAAAATAAAATCAAAATATAGTAGAATTAATTATAATAGTAATAAATAAAATAAAATAATAATATTAACAATAATAATAATAATGTTACGTTTCAGTAAAGTATATGGAAAAAATTATTCAATTCATAATTTCAACTGCCCGCTGAACAACGATCGCACAACAGCTTGTACGGTTGTCACTACGGTCTTCAATCTCACCTGCCAGCACTCTTCCAAGTTGTCCAACCTTACCATATTATTATCATCATTTATAATATAATTATGTGGTATTATATTATGACTTATATTATTATTATTAGTAGTAGTAGTAGTGGTGGTAGTAGAAGCAATAGTAGCAGTAGTGGTGGTGGTAGTAGTAGTAGTAGTAAAAGTAGCAGTTGTAGTAGTAGAAGTAATGGTAGTAGTAGTGATAGTAGTAGTAATAGTGGTGGTAGTAGTAGTAATAGTGGTAGAAGTAGTAGTAGTAACATTAAAAAAATGCCCCACCCCACCTCTGAATGTACTTCAAAATGAGGAAGACTCGGCGAGTGTCATGTGACTCCAGAAGGGACATCAGGTATTCAGTGAAGTGACAGACGTCATACTCGTTTGGAGCTGTTGCGTTTATTACGAATATTAAATTGTAGCATTTTAACGATAGCCTCTATACAACGAAGTACGATAAAACGAACTCCTAACTTACTACGTAGTGTTGAGCCTGCCGTTAAAAAAGATACTTAACTCGAAAAGGGTAGCGATTCTTAATAACGTTTGCATCAAATCGAATATTAAAATGTATATCGAAACTAGTGAGGTACAATTTATAATTTACAATACGTAATGAATAGCTTAGTGTAAGTTGCACTGTAATGAATTAATAAACTAGAAATAGGTAGAACATACGGTATAGACAATGCTTAAAAACTTAACAAGAGTTGACAAAAACTAACAAAAAGTTAAAAAAAATAAACCTGAAGAAAAGTCTGTCCACATCTTGATCTCATTCTTGATGTCTTGCAGAGACGTAAATCTTGAAAAATGATTTTTGTTTTCATCTAATTCACTTTTAGCTTTTAGAGAGTCCAGCTGCTGATGCTGATGTTGATGATCAACGTCCTGATGTAGTTGAGGATCAAGACGACTATCACGATTTTGATTACCTAAAAGATTGTTTGACGTGGAAAACACTTTCGATTCACTCTGATCCTCCTTAACAGGATTGTCGTCACCGCCCTTCTCATAAACAATGTTCAGCCTTTTCGATCCAGGCAGACGTGAGTGGTGCAGATTTTGTTGATCCCTATGTTTTCGTTGTATTTGTATTTGTCGTTGCTGTTGCTTAACTTTTGGCTGTTGTTGTTGTTGTTTGTTGGTCTGTTTGCTGATTTCGAAACATTTCCTCTTCCTTCCCCTCCTACTCGTTGTCGGCATCAGCTTTTTCGGAGATTCCAAGTTCTAAGAAGAAAAATCAAACAAAAATATACATACGGTCGACACATCTGCCTCAAGTAATACCTTGTAATTAACGTAAAATATCCATCAAACAGACGGCACAAATTTCAAAAGTTTATCTCATTCAAAACCACAACGCAATCAATGCAGACAATTATTTAAAATAAATTATTTAAAAAGCACAGAAGTGAACGCGTGAAGAACTTTGGCCCCACGTGCATTCAAACCAGGTCGTCATGTAATAAATTGTTAGCTTAAAAGCTTCCAGCCGATTTACTGAATTATATTTTATTCCATATCCATATATTCCTTTTTCAAATCGTCATTCCTTATAAAGTCATCGCCACCTTTGAATAAGAACAACCAATACACGTATCACTCAACAATTCAAACGAACCATTAATTTAATGAATGGTTGAAGTTGTTGAGGTTGCTTCTGCTGCTGTGGTGGTGGTGATGGTGGTCGCTTGATAAACTGTTGTTTGCGGATGAGTAGTTCTTTCGTTCTTTCGTTCATCAGTTCCTCCCTTATGTCGGTTGGCATGGCATTTAAGAAGCTGCTGTCAACCTATTGTGTATAGTACATATACGTCTGGACATGCGTGCATGATGTACGTATGCATAATGGTGTATTGCGTATGCATACGTGTAGTTAAACATATATGTACGCATGCACACACACACACACACACACACACACACAAAATGACATAGGCTTGTAATAGAGCGTGTTTAACGCTGAGTTCTCAGATTTGATGTTTATTTTACGAGAGGAATTCTACGATACGGTGTTTCTTGCTGCCATCAAATGCGTTAATGGTCCTGCCCTGTCATCGAGAAGTTTCTACTGATACTTCTGGTTGTTTCTGCACTTTAATGAGAACGTTGTGGAACAAATCAATTCCAACGTGATACGCTCAGTTGGAAGCTCGGCTTGGTTTGGGCCTTCAAGCTGATTCGATTCGACTCGATTCGACTCGAAGCTTCATCGACTTGAGCCGAGCTACGCCGCTAACAATATTATTAGGGAAACTTTTTTTAAAGCCAACAACAACGTAAAAAGTAATTAACAAATGACAGGAAGCATATTCACATAGGAATGAAACAACCAGTGCTTGCTACAAACTACAAACCTCAAATTCCTCGGAGTTTGTCATCAGTTGATCATTAACGTCATCATCATCATCATCATCATCATTATTATTATTATTATTAAACTTCGTAACAATTTTGAAATCATCATCCTCATCATCATAAATGTCACTCCAGTGAGAGCAACCTGGTTGAAGATGCTGTTTTTGTTGTTGTTGTTTTTGTTGTTGTTGTTTTTGTTGTTGTTTTTGTTGATGTTGTTGTTGTTGATGTTGCTGTTGTTGTAGTTTCTGTTGATGTTGTCTTTCGAACTGTCGCAGCAACAGCAGTTGATGTTGCTGTTGAATTTTTTCAACATTGTTGAAACTATCAATTATATTTCTTTCCCTTTTATCGCTAACGTCGTTTTGCTTATTATTATTATTTTTGTTGTTGCTGACGATATTGTTGTGAACATCGTTTTGTTGATGTTGTTGTTTCAACTTCTTGTTGCACAGAGCCTCTCTGATTTCATTTTGTATCTCGGAAGGGAGTTCCCTCATTGTTTCCAAATCGATCTGCATGAGTTTATTATTATTATTTATTATTATTATTAATGTTAATATTATTGTCGCTGTCATTATTTTACAGAAATGTGGAATGAACCAATTTTAGAACTGATTAACTCTGGTCGTACTCTCTCGATTCGAATGATGAGCTTCGCAGATTAATACTCTATTTATTGTATTTGACACTTTATTTTATTTCATTATTTCATTTTATTTGTACTGTCATCTTCATTCATATTATTGTTAAATAAAAAGATTGTTCCCATCATTATTATTGTTATTATCATCATCATCATCATTATTATTATTATCATTATTATTATTATACACACTCCTTAGTAGTTCACGGGGATAATTCACTAAAACATTTAGTAAAAACAATTCACAACATATCATAATGGCTAAATCAACATATCAAACAGAAATTATTTACACACACACACACACACACATATATATATATATATATATATATATATATATATATCAATAACTATATACCAAAATACCAAAAACTATATACTATATAGACTGGTGTGATTTTTTTGGTTATATCGCGCTGCAGTTCTGACGGTACCAGCATAGTTCGTCACTCAATTTGAATGCAACTGAACAGCTCTCGTGCCGTGGAGTTTGCAACGCGCATACTATAGATATATAAACACAGACAGACGTATATACACGTGCTCTGCTCTGCATCTCATCCCACAAGCATCTCACTACACGCATCAATGCATAGCCTCTGACAGTCTTAAAATGTTGAAGAGGCTGTCTTTCAAATCAGTTCATGGCGTGACACGTCAAACGCTAATTCGTCAACTGATGAATGTTTGTGAATGAGTAGAATGATGATGATGATGATGGTGGTGGCTATGATGATGGTGATGATGGTGGGGGTTATGATGATGGTGATGATGGTGGTGGTTATGATGATGATGATGATGGTGGTTATGATGATGATGATGATGATGGTGGTGGTTATAATGATGATGATGATGGTGGTGGTTATGATGATGGTGATGATGGTGGTGGTTATGATGATGGTGATGATGGTGGTGGTTATGATGATGGTGATGGTTATGATGATGATGATGGTGGTGGTTATGATGATGATGCTGATGATGATGGAAATTAACCAACCTGAGACATAGAAAGTGAAAACTCGTCATTATTATTATTATTATTATTATTATTATTATTATTATTATTATTATCATCATTAAAGTGAAGAGTTTCGTTAACATCTGCCCCACTTTCGTTTGTAATATGCCGCTGCAAAGGTGCATCCATCTTCGTCGCGTATTTCCTGATGTTGTTCGTGTGATTGGTTGATGTCGACAATGAGGAGGAAGGTCTGCTGCTGCTGCTGATTGTGAGATGCTGCCGATGCTGTGCAGTACTTTCCAGTGATGAGATCTGAATACCAATCTGTGTGTGTTTGTGTGGTGTGTGTGTTTGCATGTGTGTGTGTGTTTGCATGTGTTTGTGTGGTGTGTGTGTTTGCATGTGTGTGTGTGTGTTTGTGTGGTGTGTGTGTTTGCATGTGTGTGTGTGTTTGTGTGGTGTGTGTGTGTGTTTGTGTGGTGTGTGTGTTTGTAATGTGCGTGTGTTTGTAGTGTGCGTGCGTTCAAGAGGTAGTTCATATGAATGTTTGTTTTTAGTACGTATGTATCTTTGAATGTGCGGTTATAACTATTAATCTAAAAATTTATTTATTTATTTATTTATTTCCTCAAAAACAAATTTAATCATTAATCAATTTAAATACCCAATAATAAATAAATAAATAAATATTAATAAATAAATAAATATTACGTGACGTACTCCTCTAAAGTCCTCGAAAGGGACCTTAAAGGTCCTGAAAAGGTTCGCACACTCCCTGCTGATGACGTCAGCCTGGTTGGTCGCCACCTTTAATGTAGATGATCTGCTGACGTTATCACATATTCCGTGTCCTGTGTGTGCGTGTGTATGCGTGCGTGTTTGTGTGTACGTGTTGTTTCTGTGTGTGTGTGTGTGTGTGTGTGTGTGTGTACGTGTACTCTCTCTCTCTCTCTATGTATGTGTGTGTGTACGTGTTTCTCTCTCTATGTGTGTGTACGTGTTTCTCTCTCTCTCTCTCTCTCTCTCTCTATGTGTGTGTGTGTGTGTGTGTGTGTTTCTCTCTCTATGTGTGTGTGTGTGCGTGTGTGAGTGGGTCGGAATAGAAATGAATGATTTCCGTGATTGATGGATTGCAGTCAGGACGATGATCAGACCATGACGACTAATAACATCACGATGGCGACTCTTACAAAGAAAAATAAGATGATGAATTATGAAGACGTCGATGTACCCAACTATGATGAAAATTGTGATGATAACGACAATGATTAAAAAGTGATAACGATGATGATGATCTTAAATCTTACCCATATATTTGTAGGACTCTTTAGGTGCACCAGCACTTCTCACCTTGACCTTCAACGTGATGTGCTTGCCCTTTTTGTTTATCAAGGTCAGACGTCTGCTGACCTCCTTTGAGAGGTCGGCTAAGAAGCTGTCCGCTTCAGACATCTTGTAGGTTTATTTTTTTGGTTTGTGTTTTGGTTTGTTTATTCATATGCCAACAATCTATTCATTCATTCATTCATTCATAAATTCATTCATTCATTCATTAATAAATTCATTCATTTATTTATTCATTCATTCATGCATCCATTTATTTATTAATATTATCTTAATTCATTTATTCGTTTAATTAATTACTAAAACTGAAAATCGGATTAAATTCAAAAAGAGTCAATCAATCAATCAATCAATCAAACAATCAATCAATCAATCAATCAAACAAACAAACAAACAAACAATCAATCAATCAATCAATCAATCAATCAATCAATCAATCAATCAATCAATCAACCAACTAACCAACCAACCAACCAACCAATCAATCAACAAATCAACCAACAAATCAATCAATCAATTATTCAACCAATTAAACAAACATCCATTATACGAGCAATAAATTAATCAATCAATCAATTAAAATAATAATAACACAATAATAAACAATATTCGAAATTATAAGAAAATATCACGCCTTAGTGAATCTTATCCCATAATTCATTTCAGCTGAGACCGACTTCCTACTTCCATCATTTGCATCACCATCATCACCATTATCGCCACCTGGATCATCATCATCACAAATATCATCATCAGAAAACGGTAAAAGCCTACTCGTAACCATTATCATCATCAACATCATCATCGGCGTCCAATCATCATCATCATCATTCTCATCATCACCAATCCATCGAATCCATAATCATACTCTTAAACACACGACCACCCACATCATCATCATCATCACCACTCTCATCATCATTTTCATCACCATCTTCATCATCATTGATGAAGATGGTGATTATTATTATTATTATTATCATCAACATCATCATCATCATCCTTACTCGATATCTTGATCTGCCTACCGTCAACGCCCCTGACTTGGTTAAAAATCTTCAGACCTGTCTTTGAATCAAATAAAAATTTCCTATTACTGAACCTCATTCATCATTATAATTATTATTGCTGCTATTATTATTACTGCTATTATTATTACTGCTATTATTATTACTGTTATTATTATTATTACTGTTATTATTGTATTTTGTCATTGTATGTTTTTTATGGTGAAAAATAAAAGATGTTCCCATTATCACTATTATTATTATTACTGTTATTATTATTGTTATTATATTATTTAATCTCAACTTTGAGTTTATTTGGTTTTTCTAATTTGTCACTAGTAAACATAACGTGGCCTGATGTCTCTTGTAATAACCTTATTGATCCGGTAATATCATCATATAGTAACCCGTTTAAATGTGACGGAAGTGTTGTCTGAGACTAACTTTTAAAACTTATCTCTTCTATCATTGGTTTTGTTTTTAATGAAGGTGCAAATATATTTCACTTCACTTCGTTTCACTTCATTTCATTTCATTAGCTCTGGCTGTACTCAATCACTCTGAGTAGTGACGAGCTACGCAGATTAATTTATTCATAATTTTATTTAATTACATTTTTATTTAATTTATTCCATTTTATATAATTTTTCACTGGATGCATTTTTATTGTCATTGTTTTTATTTTATTTTATCTAATTAATTAATTAATTAATTATTACATTCAGGGTGTCACGAGAAATGCGTGCACGATTCGAATAGTTGTGAATACGGCGTTAGGTGTTAAGTTTTTAAAATCTGTAAATATTTACAGCGTACATTTTCTGCTTTTTTGGCTGTATATTTTTAGAAAAACATTAGTTATGTATAACAATATAAAATGCACTGAAATGTATATAAGTAAGGTATGTACTGTAAAAAACTGTGTAAGCTTATTTAAATGAAATGATGAAATGATGTTATATATTATGTTTCGGACGCTGGTCCAGTCAGCAAGGCGACCAGTGCACCTGAATATCTAAATATCGTACGCTGGGTATTGTTCCACCAACTAGACAACAACATTTGGCAGAGCTTTGTCAATATTATCTGACTGACGTAATGGACAATAGGTCTGAATGAATGGTTGGTTTACCTTGCTGCCGAATGTTTGTTGGAGCTGGTGGAGGGTGGTTCTCTGTCTGAGCACATCGCCACACGTCACCAGGTTCATTGATTTGAGTTTGTCGTGCAACGAGTAGCCGATGCCTTAGTGATCGAATGTAATAAGAAGTGCAATGAGCAATTAACTACCTGATTCAAACGCACGCTGATTCACAAAGCATCGCTCGTTATATATGTGTAACTGATTTCATGTGTAACCAAAAGCAGTGAAATAATGAAATGTTTTCAAAGTGAAAATGGTGCTGCTTCGAATTATTTCATTGTAATAAAATTTCAGCAGTTTATTTCAAAATGGAATTACGTAAATAAATGAAAACAACTGATCAAACCATGAAACACATTAAAAGGTAAAATGCAATTAAACAACACACATCTAAGCCAACTTATAAGAACTGTAAACAACAAACAGTTGCGTAACTACCAGGCTCAAACGCAAGCTGTGCAAATTAAAAAAAAACAGCAACGCTTCAATAAACGAAAGCAAGCAAGAGGCAGCAGCAAATCCTACCGGGCAGATCTTGCACCTGGACACCCCTCATGAATTCTCTCTCACCCCCTCGCTCCACGAAATGTTGACCGTCCGGTTTGGCCTTCCTCGTGGCTAGCCTGGCTACCAGCATGTTGCTACCTGCATGGTGTACAACAGACATGCGTGTTGTACTGCATTGAATTGAATCGCTGGACTTACTTGTAGTACGTAACGAATTTTACAAACCAGTTATGTACATGAACTCTAAGCATTGATAGATATAAGGCATGAAATGTGGGGTTGGAATGTAAAGTAACGAATGCGAATCATGACAGGTCAAACGGTAACTTAACACAACTTGTAACGTAGAAAGTATTAAATCATAGAAACGAGAATTTTAAAATACCGACAACAACAGTTGAAACAAACAACAACAACAACAGTTGAAACAAACAAACAAACAAACAACAACAACAGAACAGCAACAACGACCCACCGACGCCACAGGAGCAGGTACATTGCGTCATCTCAAACACGTCCTTCCTCATACAAGTCACAATCTCTTCGGCTGTTGCTGAGGTTACCTGCAGTTATTTTTCCATCAACATCATTGCATCCTTTCCAACTCCATCGCCCTCATTTTTCTCATCATCACTATTTACATCGTCATCATCAACAGCAGCAGCAGCAGTAGCGGCAGCAGCGATTTTTTTGCCATCCTCGCATCATCTTCACCGGCGTTTTTACGCCCTCGACATCCTCATTGCCCTCATAATTACCTACATCATCGCCAACGTTGTCTCATTGCCAAAATTTCACCATCGCCATTTCAATGTCACATTATCAAAAAGAAGATACCGCCGAAGGGGAGCATCAGTAACGTTAGCATTATATGAATACCGGGGATTAATAAGATTGACAAGGCGGTGAGTTGTTGCAATAGTTAAAATGTTAAAATGGCAGGCCCTGATGTTGCAGTAACCAGCTTCAAATGCAAACAGATCCCAGTAAATTGTAAGCAACGTAGGTGAATCGTGAATTTGTGCGTGGTCACATGCATGCGACTTTTAAGTGGCTTTTTTAGTTTTGAAATTTGTAGAATATAAATAAAAAAAAATAATTTAATTGAATATAAGCAGGCACAGACGCCAGTGATACCTTCATAAGTTGGGTGAGCTCGACAAAGAGTTCATCACAGCTGACTGCCTCAACGTACAGTGTGAAACTGAGTCGTTGATTGGATGGTAAAGCAAAACATAGTTGCAGAAAAATACTTATTCAATCAATCAACCAACCAACCAACAATCAATCAATCAATCAATCAATCAATCAATCAATCAATCAATCAATCAATCAATCAATCAATCAATCAATCAATCAATCAATCAATCAGTCAGTCAATCAATCAATCAATCAATCAATCAATCAATCAATCAATCAATTAATCAATCAATCAATCAATCAATCAATCAACCAACCAACCAATCAATCAATCAATCATTAATTAATTCATTCATTTATTCATTCATCCATCCATTCATTAATTAATCTATTCATTCATCCATTCATTAATTAATCCATTCATTCATCCATCTACACAATCATTCACTGACTCATTCATTTATTCACTCATTCATTCATTCATTTACGCGTTCATCCATTCATTTATTTATTTATTCATTCCTGCTCTACATTATACATTCCTGACTGATGAACTCAGAACAGTTGCGTTGCATACATTTCCAGGCACACGTACACCGCACATCTGAGTACGCGCGCAAACACAGCACCATAGGTACACGAAGCCTTTGAAACCTTAGGATGACATCGTAGAAAACTTTAGAAACTCTCTGATAGGCCTCGAAGTCGTAGGGCACAGCCACCAAATCGTTGCACAGCTTCTTTGCATGGCCAAACAGCATTCCATTCTGTACACCTGCTTGTCTGAATGTGTGTGTGTGTGAGTGTGTGTGTACGTGCGTATGTGTGTGTGGTGTGTGTGTGCGTGCGTGTGAGTGAGTGTGTGTACGTGCGTATGTGTGTGTGGTGCGTGCGTGTGTGCGTGTGTGTGTGTGTGTCGGAACCACACCCAAGTCATTTTATCGCGTTATTCAATCAAATAAATGATTTTTTTATAACTTTTGTTTAGTCATTTCCATAACATTAAAACCAAAAACACTCTTTACGAACATAAAATAAATAAACTTTTATATTACAAGTATTAGAACGTTCCAGATGGCCATACACACAAACGCCAACAAATACACGCGCACACGCACACACACACACACACACGCACACACACACGCAAACACGAACGTAGGCATGCACAAGCACTCAAATGTAACGACATGCAAAATCAAACCTCGCTTCATAACTACAACACGCTATGTCGGACTTGGAATTGAAACCTAGAATATGGAAATAAATTATTTTAATTTTTGAAAATTCATTCCAAAAAATTGTTACAATTGTGGGAAATTTACCCACCAAAATTTTTAAAAATATGAACCAAAATATAACTTACGAAAAAACATTCAAGTTGAAAATACATAATAAGGAAATAAGTTAATGATAATAAGAGAAAGCAGACAGAAACCACGGACCTTGTCTGTTGGCATCATCGGCTCTCAGATGAGTCACAGCTAAGGGTTTGCCTGGAAGTTTGAACAAAATAAAAGAAGCTGCTCAGCTGTTCAAGAGGCTGCTCAACAACAATCCAAACTCAATTATACAAATTAAAAACACAACCAAAAATCTTGTAATGAATAACTGAAAAAACACATAAATGAACGAATGAGCGAACGAATGAATGAATAAATAAATGAATGAATGGAAGAAGAACGAACCCCTCAAATCGGGCCTATTGATAAGAGCTACCGACACGAAGAAGCAGTCGAGATCAATGTGTGCGTACACTCGTTCGTCTCCATTTGAAGCCTCTGGAATGTAGACATCGCCATCTCCATTTGGGACCACCGGAACCACATCTTCCTCAGTGATCTTCAACTTCATCAGTTTCTCCCTACCAGGAAATTTATGAACGCCACCCGAACCAGACTTGGTGGCCAATTTTTGAAGCCGCGTCACGTACGACTTGGCGTCGAGTTTCCATTGCGAGATGTGGTGCAGGCGACTTTTGTTGAAGAATTCCGAGACATTGTTGATTTGAAAACCGCCAGCAGGTGACTGCTTGGATATGATTGAAGGATTCGCTGGTGGCAATTGTGGTTGTGGTGAATGTTGATGGTGTTCTCTTAGATTTTCATTTCTATTTAATGGCTCCGATGAAATATTTGAGGATTGATTTAGTTGAGTAGCATCATCACCTTCAGCATTAGCGGATGATGAGTTAGAGACACGAGAAACATCTTGCAAATGATCAGTTGATCTCAAACATTCAGAAACATTTTCATCTTCCTCATCATCCTCTCCCCAATCATCAGCCTCTCCATAGGCTGGCAGTTGGTCATTTAAATGGTCATCAATAAGTTCGTTGCCCACCTTCTTAACCCTGATGGCTGGTGCTTCTTCATCATTAGAAACATCCATGGTGACGTCATTGTTAGCTGTTGTTGTTGTTGGGCTGAGCGAATTTTCAAAAGAGGTGAGGAATGAGGTGGAGGGCTTGGAGGTGTTCAAGTTCATCACTGATTTGCTGCTAGTGAAATCTTAATGAATGAATGAGTGAATGAATGAATGAATGAGTGAGTGAGTGAGTGAGTGAATGAACGAACGAACGAACGAATGAATGAATTAATTAATTAATTAATTAATTAATCAATTAATCAATTAAATAATTAGCTAATAGATGAGTGAATGAATAAATGGTTTGATGGTTGGATCAATAAATAAATGAATGAATGAAGTTTGGATTTCTGCAAATGAATAAATAGCCTCATAATTACGAATTGGAATGAATCAAAACTGAACAAATTCAAATAATGAAGCTATGTAATGAAATAAAGAGAGAAACCACATATGAACGGATGGATAAATGAATGAACGAACAAACGAATGAACAACGAATGGATGAACAAACAAACGAATGAACGAACGAACCGATGAATGAATGTACAAACAATGAAATGAGCAAACAAATGGTCAATTTGAATCACCAATATAATAACAAACAATGTTAACGAATTATAATCATCAATGATAACCTTTCAGGCTGTCAAAAAAAGTTGAATGCTGATTGTAGAGCAGATAATTCTGGCAGGGAATCAATTTTCCAGCTGACACACTAGGAAAAGGATTTCACTATTGAACAATCTCATCATTTTGAATTCAGGTTTATACATTATTATTCAGAACAATAGTTTTCTTTAAATTCTTTTTAAAAAAAAATGTTGAAGTATGGAAAAATCTAAATTTAAATAAATCAACAGCACATAAACAACGTGTGCCAATGCAAGTAAATTAGCGGGACATTGCGTATGATGAGCAGTGATAGCTTGCATTCAGTCACTGCAGCGTAGAACCAGGAACCTCCAACATCACGCCATCTTGCCGCTGTCCAATTGTGAATTTGGAAATTTTTAAATTAACCATTACTCAATTATTTGGATCATGTTAGGCTATTTGTGCAATAAAATTTAACACAATTAAAAGTGAACTGATAAAAAAATGCTACTAATTAATAAAAATAATAACAATAACAATAACATGAATATTTGTATAGTGCCGCATGTGTGCTGCTTCAGAGTTAAAAATAGATGAAATGAAACTGAAACCTATCCACAATCCAGTTGGGTCTGACAACCTTTTCGTCTCTAAGATGAGCGATCTTACTCTTGGGCAGGTTGGTGGCGATGATGTGGCTGACCCTGGACTTCAGGTAGTAGTACTGGTAGGTCCCACCGTTCTCCGTCACCAACCTCTTCAGCACCTCCGATGTCGGATCTGAATAAGTTAATCGGTGATAATAAATTCACGATTCACACAATTCACAATTCGTTTATTTATCAGACAGACCAGTAAAGATAACTATAATGATTATTATTCTATTGGAAAAAAAATATCCAAACACAATTGCAATGAATGAACCAAGCAACACAATGAGAAAGATTTAAAAACGTCATTCCAAGCTTCAAATCATTAATTATTACTATTATTATTAATTAATTAACTAATTAATATGAAGAATAAAAACCTTTTACAATTATCATTTTTCCTCAATTCTCTTTATAGTATATCTCAGATTTATCAACAACAGCCAACCCATAGTGCATACATACAAACACAAATCGATATATCACACACATTCCATGTGAAAGACATGAATCTTGTCTTTCGCAATGAATCTTCTCGCATTCGAACGCAGTCACCACAGCATTAGTGCCAAACACCTCAACCACTACACTACAACACACTGCCCATTTGTTAATTCATATCTGGGTATATGAACATGTTTATTGGTGTAAAGTCCTTAATTTTACCTGTGTATCCGTTGACATATATTGAGATTCCTCTGAAAATGTTCGAACGCTTTTCTTTTGCACAGGACTGCTTTTCAAGTTTGTCCATTTTAGCCTTCATGTACCCTCCCTTGAAAATCAAAAATAAATTTAACAATGAATTAATTAATTATTAATGATTAGCATTAGTTAATTAATTATCTAATTAATTACCTAGCTAATTAATTAATTAGATAATTAAGTGAAGTTATTCAAAGTAGGATACAGTGCAATACAACACAATACAATACAGTACAATATATTATAATACAATACAAAACAATACAATACAAAACTACACAACACATTATAAAACAATACAACACAATATATTTCAATACAATACAACACAATACATTACGATACAATATGACACAGCATGATACAATACAATTGATAAATAAAATAAAAAAATACAATACAAACCCTTTCACTCCATCCATCATCTTGAAATTTTGAACGTCGTCTACCTCTACCTCGATTCATTCTTCTTTCTCAAACTAGCTCAGTCTATCAAACTGTGACATGAGACAGGATACAACAAAAACATTAAGTATTAAATTTATTATTTAGTGTAGCAAAAATGTTACTTCCAACTGAAAAAATTAATAAAATCAATTTAGAAAAAATATTTAACAATCATTTTCAATTTACTGTACAGTAATTTATTTACATTAATTATAAGTAACATGCCAGCTGAAGTGAAATAAAATAGTATAGTAGTGACTAAGTTAGCACTAAAATGAGATTAATATTAAACATGCATAAGTGCTTTTTACACATTAAGAAGTGAGATTAAGTTGGATAGTTGTGTCTGAATCTAAAAGGCAAAAAGAATGTTCTCAACCTTTTTTTAAACAGCTGATACTTGGTTATGTTTTTCAGGTGGGAGTGTGTGTGAGCTTTAGTAGTTTTAATTAATTTAATTATGTTTTAGTAGTCAGATTTAGTTTTTTTAGACTCTAAAAAAGACATTACTGACTTCAGACTTAGAGAGTAAGACAGTGAGACTAACTAAAAGACTAACAATTCAGAGATGAGTCCAAGGCGCACTCCGTATATCACTTTTCCTATCACTGTAGTTTAGTTCTACTTAGCCAACAGTCTAACTTAGATTGAACCTCAGATTGAAGTTACAAGTTAGCAACAGGCACAGTAGTCAGAGTCTGAATTTCAGACTAATCCTAATGACAAAACAATTAATTTAATCATCTAACATTTCAGTTTGACGCCTTAAAATTGTATTTTAGGCTGATTATTTTTTTTCTGAAAATACTATAATAATATAATATTCCTAATAATTAATTAAATTCACGAAATCATTAAATCAAAATTTAAAATAAATCAATAGCCGCATAAACAAAATTCACTTTTTACTTGAATTTTAAAAGTGAAAAGTAGTAACAAATTAAAATAGTTAAAGTTGGGCACTTTATTCTGCTCATATAATTAGAATAAATATAACGGCCTTCGCTCATTTTTGACGGTAGAACAAGGAGCTTACTTCCGGAGGAAAATTGGAGGGTGATTTTTTATCGCCCAAGTCATAAGTTACGATCGTATATTTACTAATTTCGGAAAATTGCTTTTATTTAAAATTTCAAAATGTTTTAAAAGGTACTAGATGCTGTTTTAGGATAGATATTGCTGTATGACGGTTAAGTATCTTTTTGCATTTTAAATAAAAAAAATTTTTTGTGAACCACCAACAACACTTTTAAGTCTTAAGCTTAACTCATTAACTGAACAACACTAAACGACGACTAATTAGTAATTAAATTACTAAACTCTAATAATTAAGCTAAAACTAAACTCTACTGATTCTAATTACTAATTGAAATAAATAACAGATAACACTAACGAACATTAACAGATTAGACTACTAGAAACTACCAACCACTATAGTTAACGACTAACAGCACTTGTTCCTAAGATCCTAAATTCTATTGCTTGATTGGTTTTAAAATTTTTATTTACAATGCTTAGGTCTGGGATTTAAAATTAAAATTTATTAATTATAAGTGATTCAAGCTAAATTTTTTTTCATTTAATGTTTTACAAAATATTCCTCATTCTTAAATTGTAGTACATGTTGTTATTAAATTTATTAAAGATAATGTGTGATTCCAGTGATTCATCAATCCATGACTTGTTAGATCATGATCATTCAGTTTTAAAGAATCCCCATCACCATAGTCCATAACCAATGAGGTTTGTAAAAATTGTACTTTTAATTTATTATATTTTATGCACTTAGAATGTTGTGTTATTAATTATTATCATTAATTTATTAAATGCTGTGCATACCTATGGCAAGTAAATAAAGTAATTTAGCATAGAAATAGCCACAATCAAATTATATAGGCATGAGTATAATTTGGATAATAATAATTAAAAATATCGGTATCAATGGATAAAGTCATAAATAAAAAAATAAATCATAAATTGCTAAAAATAAGTTCCAGTAAGATTTTGCCTTACACCTACATCTTTTTTTCATTCTTATATTATAATAAATGTTTGTGATCAAATATATCAAGGATTGATTTCTCAATCCATGACTAGATTGAATGTCATGATCCTACAGTTCCAGAGGATCCCCATCACCATTAGTCAATAAGGTTTGTAGAAATCACCCCAGGCATACCATCAATGTTTTGTAGCCACCTTTTAATGTAGTGTTAATAAAATGACATTGAGAATAGTTATTTAAAACAATCTTATTAAAATTATTGAACAGGTATGACAAGATTACTTTCTTAATGTCCTAGTGTGAGGAAGATGTAAGCCATTTGTCCAAAGATAATCATGTGTCTTATGCCCATACAAATGCAGTGTCAACGCGAATAATTTTTGATCAGAGTCATATGTTCTAATTTTTTTAAACTTTTCCAGAAATTTTTCTGTTAATTTATTTGTTACATTAAATACTTGATGTGTATTTCATATAAAAACTTGATTATGCCAATTTAGTTAACTTGTTAAGCATTAATATAAAATTAACTCTACTTGTAATGGTGATTGGTATGATGATGATGATCCCAGTCCTAAGCAGGGTTTATTATTCACAATGTCATTATGCCCTTTCTAAGTTTTTATAAAATACATGGAATATTGGTGAATGCATTTTATATTTTTTGTATAGATAAGAATGTTGCAATGTACAATGATGATGTGAATTGCTTCCTTGTGTAACTGATGACATATAAATATAACTAACTTGAAAACATGGGAATGCTTTCTTCAGCATTACCTTCCTTTCTCCATCATAACCCTTATAATCTTTATTACAGAAATGGTCACTGCATATTCTTGCATTTTTTGATGGAGGCCATTTGAAATCATTTATTTCTTGTCTGATGCACTTAATCCAATCGTTTTGCATTTTTACATTTTGAAGAAATCTGAAATTTTATAAACTGTTACAGAAACTTGTGCATTTCTTAAGTATTGCTTTTAATAATAAAATGGTAATCCATGATAGCATTATAAACTATAATAGTCCATAAAATAAAATATATGTAATTGTAAAACAAAATAGTTCTATTCAATAAGTATAGGGATATTGTTACATTTATTTTAGTGTGAAGTTAATTTGAAAATAAACCTGTGAAAAGATGCATCAGAAATTTTCTCATTTCTATTTATTATTAATGCAATTTTTAAATGCAACAGCTGGCATGTTTTTGTATAGCTACGAAAATGAAAATTTACTTAAAAACTAAATTATTGTATTTGACACGAAAATTAGTACAGAAACAAAAACGAAAGAATAAATGACAATATAAAATTTAAACATTGATTGAAAGAGTTTATTTTAATTATATGGTATGGGCAATTCGTTGCGAAATCGTTGGAGGAAATGGTGTCAACAGTAGTTATTTTACTGCATGGTAGTTAATCAGCCGGTATGAAATTATATTCAATTCCTATCAAATAAATTTGACAAAATATCATACACAGGCAGAACTAAATAAAGAAATAGATAGATATATACACGTAGTTATAATAAATTTATAATGTTGTAATTACACATTCAAATTGTACAATTGTGTTATAGTGTAGTCTCAAATTATTGTGAATTCGTTCAGAAAATTTTAAACGTTTAAACAAATTTATGCATATTGGCTCAGCTTGGCTTGGCTCGGATGTTAAGCAAGGTGTGGTCTTAAACTATTTTGAATTCTCCCCAAAAAATTTGAACTGCGTGCGTACATATATAGTAATGGCTAGTGTTGTTTTTTATAATGAATTTATAAAATATATAAATATAGCGAGCAAAATATTAACATAAAAGCGCTTTTAAATCTATGCATATTGGCTCAGCTTGGCTTGGCTCGGCTTGGAATCGGATGTTAAGCAAGGTGTGGTCTCAAACAATTTTGAATTCTAACAGGTATCTAGATTTATATATAGTTGTGTAGAGTTATTGATTATATATAGTTATATAGTGATATATACGGTTATATAGATTTATATATAGTTATGTAGAGTTATTAAATATAGATAGTCATATAGTGTTATATACGGTTATATAGATATAATATAGTTATGTAGAGTTATTGAATATATATGGTGATATAGTGTTATAAAGGTTATATAGATATGCATATAGTTATACAGTGTTATTGATTATATATAGTTAAATAGTGATTTAAACAGTTAGATAAATTTATATATAGGTATTTAGAGTTATAGATTATATATAGTTATATAGTGAGAAATAAGGTTATATAAATTTATATATAGTTATGTAGAGTTATTGATTATATATAGTTATATAGTGATATATACGGTTATATAGATTTATATATAGTTTGTGACGATCCTGAAACTTATGCGGTTATCGCTTAATAGTTTAGAGCCACTGAGGCGATTAGATAAATAAGTTTAGTTTAGTAATAGATCGAAGGTTATATAGATTTATATATAGTTATGTATAGTTAAAAATTGTATAATGTTATCTAGTGTTAAATACGGTAATATAGACTTATATATAGTTATGTAGAGTTATTAATTATAAAAAGTTATATAGTGATATATACGGTTATATAGATATATATATAGTTATGTAGAGTTATTGAATATATATAGTCATATAGTGTTATATACGGTTATAGAGATTTATATATAGTTATATAGTGTTATTGATTATATATAGTTTTATAGTGATATATACGGTTATATAGATTTAAATATAGTGATGTAGAGTTATTGAACATATATAGTCATATAGTGTAATATACGGTTATATAGATTTATATACAGTTATATGGTGTTATTGATTATTTATAGTTATATAGTGATATATATGGTTATATAGATTTATATATAGTTCCGTAGAGTTATTAATTATGTATAGTTATAAAGTGTTATATAGATTTATATATAGTTATGTAGATTATTGATTTCATATAGTTAGATGATGTTATATACGGTTATATCGATTTATATATAGTTATGTTGATTTACTGAATATATATATTGTCATATAGTGTTATATACGGTTATAGATTTATATATAGTTCTGTAAAGTTATTGATTATATATAGTTATATAGTGATATATACAGTTATATAGATTTATATATAGTTATGTAGAGTTATTGTTTATGTATAGTTATATAGTGATATATACGGTAATATAGATTTATATGTAGTTTGTGACAATCCCCAAACTTGTGCGCTTACCGCTTAATAGTTTAGAACCACTGAGGCGATTAGATAAACCAGTTTAATTTAGTGGTAGTTAGAAGGTTATATAGATTTATACATAGTTATGTTGAGTTATTAATTATATATAGTTATAAAGAGTTATATACGGTTAAATAGATTTATATATAGTTATGTAGAGTTATTGATTATATATAATTATATAGAGATATAAACGGTTATAAACATTTATATAAATTCATATAGTGTAATACACGGTTATCTAAATTTTCATATAGTTATGTAGAGTTATTGATTATATATAGTTATATAGTGTTATATACGGTTATATAGACATATATATAGTTATGTAGAGTTAGTGATTATATAAAGTTATATAGTGATATATACGGTTATATAGATTTTTATATAGTTATGTAGAGTTATTAAATATATATAGTTATACAGTGTTTTAAACGGTTGTATAGATTTATATATAGTTATGAAGAGTAATTGAATATATATTTATATAGTGATATATACGGTTATAAAGATTTATATATAGTCATATAGTGTTATATACGGTCATCTAAATTTATATCTAGTTCTGTAGAGTTATTAATTATATTTAGCTATATAGTGTATATACTATCACTATATAACTATATATAATCACCAACTCTACATAACTATATATAAATCTATATAACCGTATATATCACTAAATAACTATATATAAATAATAATTTTACGTAACTATATTTAAATCTATATAACCGTATATAACACTATATGACTATCTATATTCAAAAACTCTACATAACTATATATTAATCTATATAACCGTTTATATCACTGTATAACTTTGTATAATCAATAACTCTACATAACCATATACATGTCTATATAACCGTATAT